AGCCAGCCCGAGGCTTTTGGTTGCTCAGGTCAACAGTTTTGCGCCATGGGCATGACGAAGAAGACCAGCGCTGGAACCGCAGTTAGCATGTCGCAATGCAACTTGGATGGCCACACGATTACCATCGACACCCTTCAGGACGGGCGAACGAGACAAACCCGGACTGCTTGGGTTCTCTTTGGTTGCCCTCCAAGCGTTCCTGTTTATGCTTTCAGGGTCAGTGGGGCAACGGTTTCTGTCACCATTGACCAAATTCAGGACCAGCGACCCTGCCTTTTCATGGCAATCACTTTCCCGAAAAGAGCTTTGCGTTGATTTCTAGGTGTTTTCTTGTCTCACGGGCCCCGCGTGGCCGCGCAGGCTCGGGAGTTCTTGAGCTAGCACCAAACCTGCCTTGCTGCTGATGTTTCACGCGCCTGCTGATGTTTCGGATGCTCAACTAAAAAGGCAACCAACATGGTGACTAGGTCCCCCAGTAATGTCGTGCTCTTTTACCCTTTTTTGGCGGAGGGTTCCCCTAAAATAGACGACAGAAAAAGTAGGTACCCTTATTCCAACCTCTCTACTGAAGGACCTAGCGTCCATCGGCTTAAGGATGTGTTTTGAAGTGCCCGTGGTGTTAAAGAGACTCGATTTGACTGAACATATTGCCATGTTTCGGGGGCGAAATCTGACTTCTCAGTTCGGCGCGCTCTCAACCAACATGGGGTGGAACCTAAGGCAAGGACGAAACTTTTTAAGTGCAAGCAGCATTTGTTTTTGGTCCAAGCATTGTTTTAATGGTGCCTGGACCTTCAAACCACCCTCTAACATCAGGTTTGCCCTAATGATGGTGGTCTGAATCCTTAAGTCCCCAAAATGGCCAGCTGGTTTTTCCTCTGGTTTCCATTTTCTGGCTGGTTCGCAGGGAATGAGGGACCCCTACAAACCATCCAACTGGTGGTTTCCTTTAGCATCTGGTCATTCTCTACCTACAGAAAATATCAGAGCTGACGTTCGAGACTCCTGCAGGACTTGTCGAGTTATGAGCTGACGTTCGAGAATGGCCGCATGAAGGTGGAAGCAAAGCGCATGTTGACCACAGGGGATGCCACAGACTACGAGCTCAGCTTGGACAAGACCTACTACATCCTTCTGGTCGTTCCTGGTTTACATGGTGTCAAAATCGGAATGTCTGGTTGTGTCAAAGTCGGGACGTTCTGTCAAAACAGAGTTGAGTATGTGTGTGGTGGTGGCTAATTAAGATAGTTTGCCCTTCTGCTTGTAGCTGTCATAAACAAGTATGGGTTGTGTTTGAAAAGGATTAGATGAGGAACCAACCCCTATAGATTCTATTCACATCTCTTTCGTGTTGGTTTCTTATGGTTTGATTTTTCCCCTTCTTTGTTTCGTTTTCCCCGGCTTCGTTTTGTTTGTTTTGTGCTCAGGTTGGAAGCTCCATCAACGTGGGGTACCACGGAAGCTCTGCCACCACAAGCTTGGTATGCACCAGCAGCCTCACGCAGAAAGGCGCGGAGCCTCGAGTCAGATCGCTCGGATCGCTCGGCTCGCGCGCGGCTCGGATCGTCCCGATGTGGCGGGGCACGTCGGGCGTGACGACGGGTCCCGGCCCGAAAAAGTTGTCCCGTTTGGGGCTCAATCGGTTCACGTCCAACGACGTCCAAAAGTGATGGTAGTTCCCTGAGAAGCCGGAAAAAGGAACCAACACATGGTGTTGGGAAACATTTTACATTTTTGCTTATGGTGGTTTAGTGGGAATCCCCACTTGACTGCTAAAAAATATGTTTTTGCTCCCCTTCCAACGTCAACCAATAATTGGGATGTGTTGTTTGGTTTTTATTATGATTTTTAAATAGCGACGTCACTTTGGCTTCGACATCACCCGTGAAGCTTCCTCCTAGGGGCCCATTTTTTGTTGGCGGGCGAAGATTTTTTTTCCCGGAACACATGGACATGATGCAAGTCTCTAAACTTGAAAATCCCTGATTTGTTGATTTACTTGTTTGTGTGTGTGTGCACTTGCTTCATTATTAATGTTTATTTGTGTGTTGATGAGTGTTCATTTAATTATTGTTGATTACTGGATTGATTGACTGATTTGTATTTATTGGTTGAATATGTATCTGTTGATTTCATGTTTTACTACTTCATATTTTTTAATGACTAACATGTATTGATTGTATGTTCTATGTTGTGTTTTAATTTTGTTTGCTTATTTTTTTGCTTATTTGATATTTTATTTATTATCGAGTTTGTGCATATATTCATGGCATCAGATTAGTCAATAGTAAGTTAGTTGGTTTGCTTGATTGCTTGCTTGCTTGTGCGCTTCGCTTTGATTGACGTTTCTTTGACGTGTGCTTGTGATTTCCAGCAACATGTCCAGCATGGATGCCGGCTCAGTTTCAGTCGGGAGCTTTTCTAAAGACAGCAACCACAAGGCACATGTCCCACCCCCTTTTCGGCCGCCTTTTGGGCGAACGCTTTGCCACGAGAAAGAGAGGCAGAAAGGATGAGCCACCTCACTGCCTAGCAGGCCTAGCAGTCAATCGAGTGGGAAGCCAACAGAATTCAACCCCTTGAGTAAAAGGGAATCCCCTGGTTCCGGAATCCAGCTCGTTGACTCATCCGGGTCCAGGTTTTTCCACGTCTGCCTCCTGACAGTCCCTTCGTGCAAAACCAGCCGTTCTGCGTCGTAAGTCAGAGTTTCCCAGAACTGCCTTTGGAAATCGCTCAGAAATCAAACGCGCGGAGCCTATTGAAAGGAAGCGGCCGGAAGCGTCTCGGGACCACTTTTGCTCGCGCAAGGAAGGCTTCCGACTTCTAACACCAGCGCATTTTTTTGGGTATCAGTCCTGTCCTAGCATTTTCATGGCATTTCCGGCGGCTGTTTGTTTTGGCGCGAGGCGATTGCAAAGCCGCCGCTGAGTGGGACAACGGCCCCCCACCTTTGGTGGTGATGTCGAAGTCCTTTGCCATGAGCCTGTGCTGGCCTGTGCTGGTAGCAATGGCCTTCTTCCAGTGAGTATCCATCCTTCAAGGGATTCGAGGAGGGGGGATTTCGACCGGAGATCTCCATCTATGGCAACCCATTCTTCCCCTAGAAAAGTGAACCTTGGGTGCCGGAATCCCCCTCCCCAAAACCGAAGGGCCGACGGTTTTGAGACGGCGGAAAAATTGAGCCGAGCTCCAATTCGGCCGAGGGGATTGCAGGGAATCTACATCCACTTCGGTGTGTTGGACGGCTCTGTCCCGGGGACAAGACAAGTGCCCAAGGCAGCCCAGATGCGTTGTGGTGAGATGGATGGTGCCTGTTAGGCGTTTGGGATATCGACCTCAAGGCTGACGACTCATGGTTACTGGGATTTTCACATGAACCTAAAATTGTTTGTTCGTTTGGCAGACATAACAGCGCCTAATTATTGCCCGGCTCCCAAGCATGGACGATCACGAAGTGTTTCCATTTTCTGGTTAGGCAGCTCAAGCGGAAAAGAAGTGATTGAGGCTATTGCCGACTTCAGAAAGCTTCAGAAGGGGGCACCCAGGGGAAACTTGCAGTGAGTGCCGCACAACCCGAACCCCGACTCAGGCTGCACAAACCCAGCGGGCTACTTCTAGGGGTGATTTCCACTGCGTTCCGGCCGTGCCCAACCCTTCAGGCCAATCCTAAACCGACCCAAAACCAACCCTAAAGCGAGCCGAGGAAGAAGCGAGCAAGGCAGGAAGCTAACAAGCAAGCTTAAACCAACCCTGAACATACCTAAGCCACCCCAAGCCAATCCTAAAGCAAGCCAAACCCCATCCTCCTAAATCAACCTAAACCAAACCCACCCTAAGCCAACCCTAAGCCCACCCTAGGCCAACCCCAAAGCAAGCCCAAACCCACTCTAACCCCACCCTAAACCCACCCCAAACTAGCCTTAAACCAACCCTAAACCAACCCTAAACCACCCTAAAGCAACCCTGGACCAAAACTACGGCAATCAACCCTTTGCCAACCTGGACAAAAAGAGGTCTAAACCAACCCTCAGTGGACTTAGTTGATCCCTAAATCACCCTAAGCCAGCCCTAAACCAACCCTAAACAAAACCTACACCAGCGGAAACCAACACTACACCAACCCTAGGCCAAGATCTTTGAAACGTCTTAAGCGTCTTGGCATACGTCGTCCCACTCAAAATCAGTGACGCGTCCAGCCTTTTGGACAGGGATGCAAGCGGCTTGGCCGCTACGGCAATGATTGTTGCCTCGGCATCCAATGTTTCTTTGGCCAGCCATCCCTGGCCAGCGCCCTTTTTCGGGCTGCGTCACCTGATACCCGGCACAAGCTGCAAAGTCTGTTGTGCCGTTCCGGGCTTCCGACCTCTTGGAGACCTCTTGGAAGCGAAAACAGCAACCACGGGGGTCCCCGAATGTATACGAAGCACTTCTCTATGGAGGGGTCAATGAATCTTTAAAGCCACGAAATCCGTTGGGCAGTGGAATTCGGCGGATGGATCGAGTCGACTGCTTGGCGGGAAGGCCAAAAGACAGCGCGTAGTCGATGTGCGCTCCAGATTGTCGTTCAGCTCTGTTTGAGAGATGCGCTTTGGAGCTCTAGTTTGAGGAAATTATTAGTTGTCTCCGGTTACCATGCTGCCTGTTGCTATCGAACCCAGATGTGCAACCACACACGTCCATTTCGCCCATGTTTGTCATGGGCGTGTGTGAACGTGGGCGCGTGCGTGCGCGTGTGGGTGGGCATGTGCAGGCATGTGTGTGTGTGTGAGTGTGTGTGTGTGTGATGTTTGAGCTTGTGCGTTTGTGCTAGGTCGCCCAGCAGTGCCCTTTTACCCTTTTTTGGGGGAGGGTTCCCCTACTAAAATAGACTACAGAAACAAATCGGGTACTAACTTATTCTAACCTCTCTACTGGAGGACCTAGTGCGTTTCGGTGCGTGTGTTTGTTTGTTTGTTTTCTTTTCTGATTTGCCCCTTGTCTCTCGCCTCACGTGCGCCCAGAGCCCGCCAAAGTACTCCTTCACGCACTCGCCGGTGCTGAGCCCTGCCCCCGGTGGTGCTGTTGTCCTGCGAGGAGTGGCCATAGTACTTGGTGGCAACCATCTTTGTAGTCTTGTAGCGTTTGGTGGTAGTTTCCATTTAACCCACCAAAAGTTAAACTTTAGCGGGGGATCTGAGGGCAGAGTAAGTTGGTCGTTGGGAGCCCGTTCGGATTTGGGCTTGTGAGTCCCTGGTTCTTGAAGAGGGTAACTCGGAAGCTGCTGAAACACCAGCTGATACTATAGTCAAACCCTGAAAGGCTCCCGCTGGTCTAATCACCCGGGTCATGTCGAAGAATTATTGTGCTGCCTCGTTGACAAGGCCTTTTTGGTATGAAAGATTTCCAGGAGCCAGTCTGGGACATCTTTGTGTTTGAGAACTCGATTATGGCCATGGCTCAAAGCCAATGGTGCCATTTTGGGGGTTTTTCGGTGCACCACCCATTTTAGTACCTGTTTTAGCGGTTGGACTGGGATGTTCAGTGGGTAGCCCGGGATTTGGACCCATGCAAGACCCATATTTGTTGAAACAAACACCACCAATGGGTTGCTTGTTCCTTTCCTTCCAGACCTGGCTGGTGGCCGGCCGGCACTCTTTGCTAACGCGGGCCTTTGAAATGTGATCCATCGCTCATTTGCAGCGGCACTTTCTGACTCCCTCAGTTCCGTTTCGGGGGCTTTAGTCACTTTTTGGGTTTGGAAGTGTGAGTGGTAAACAAAAGCTGGAACTTTTTTGGGGCCAATCCCCGCAGGAAGTGAGCTTTTCATTTTTCTTTGGGTTTACACGGAATCTAGCACTGGACAAGCTTTTTCAGGCAACGCACGTCTAGGTAAGCTGCATGGTTGTCGTCCTTAAGTTCCTCCGGTCTGTCTCAGAATCGGGGACCCCTTTTTGGACGCAAATGGCCGAAGAGGTGCCCTGTTTCAGGCATCAACATGTTCAGGAGCGGGTGTAGGTTTCCTCAGGGTTTTGGAGTGCCAAGTAAGTTGCAACGGTAACCGTTCTGCTATAACCCGCTCAGAAATCCAGCTAAGCGGAAATCGGTCTGGGAGTGGGTTGGCTAGCCGCTTACTTAGTTACTTGGCCGAACATCCAAGTACCATGGTTGAATTGGTCAAAGCTCATGGCTATGGTGATGTGGCTGTGGGTCAACACCAATGGTACCATTTTGGGACAGGTGCACCACCCATTTTAGTCTATTTTAGTGGGGATTGGGATGTTCACTGGGGGTACGGGCTTTTGACCCATGGCCATGTGCTTAAGCTGAATGCTTTTGGTAATTGGCAGTGCAATCCTGCTATGAATTCTGATACCTTTTCGTGGACATGTTCATAGGGATTGACATGTCTACCATGTTTGAGAGTTGTTCCAATCCATTGTGTTGTTTGTAGCTGCAGCAATCAACTGACTCCATGTCGAGCAACAGAACGAGGCGATCACCTAGTTTCTCGGGTGTGTTTTTCTGCAGGGTACCACTTTGTTGTGAGGCCGTTTATGGGGACACACACACATACGCACACACACACACACCATTTGGGCGCTTGGAATGGAGACAGGTGAGGGCACACTGCCCATAAGGCAAGAAAGACTATGTTTCTGCAGGGTCTGGGTTGTATAGTGCAGGAGAGTCCGAGGGCATTGAGTGTAAGCTTGGGAAATGCAAATGCACGTAGCATTTGCAAGCTATACGGACTATAGGGACCAGTGAGCAGTGTGAAATACCTTCTTGAGGAAGTTTATTGAAAATGGGGTTTCCGCGGGTGCTAAATAACTCTTGATGCCTTTTTCCTCGCAAGTGCTTGATCCTTTTTTTCTTCTTCTTTTATTTGTTTTATTGTTTGTTTTCGGACCCTACCTTACACCTCCAGTACCCTTTTTTCTTTTTTGAGGGGTCCACGACCCAAACAGAAATCTTCGAGTGCTCTTTTTGCCATGGAGGACACTAAAGTGTTTGAAGATCTCGGCACGATTAGTTGCCCAGTATGTGCCGAGGAAAGGCAGTGTGTCTAACTCATCATTCGACGCTGGGAGAAATGCCCTCACGCCCGGGCAGATATGGCTGTGAATTTTAATAGGGAACCCCCCTGAACGGGGTTACGGGTGAATCCCCACCTAAATGATGTCCTGCAAAGGGTCCCCAATCAAAATTCAGGCCCATATTTGTCTCAGTTGTTCAGTGGCACCCTTTTCCCCCCTTTTTTTTTAGTGGCTGCCCCACTAAAAATGCTCTTTCCCAAAAAGGGTTCCCTTTGTTTCCAGGGTCACTGAACAACTGAGTTGTCTCCTCAAGCTGGCGACCTCCAATTTTCGCCCGACTGCGAGGCAAGGACAAGGCCTCGAAGCAGCCGGGGCCCGGGTGTGGGCCCTAATTCTCGTCTCGAATCGAAACTCGAGCTTTGAATGGGATCCGGTGGATTTGTTGTTATCATTTCCTAGAGTGTTTTTGTTGTTTTTATTTTTTTGCTGGTGCTGGGTTGGTTCATTGGTTGGTTGGTTGGTTGGATGGTTGGGTTGGTTGGTTGGATGGATGGTTGGTTGGTTGGCTGGTTGGACGGTTGGTTGGTTGGTTGGATGGTTGGATGGTTGGATGGTTGGATGGTTGGATGGTTGGATGGTTGGATGGTTGGATGGTTGGATGGTTGGATGGTTGGATTGTTGGATGGTTGGATTGTTGGTTGGTTGGTTGGTTGGTTGGTTGGTTGGTTGGATGGTTGGTTGGTTGGATGGTTGGTTGGTTGGATGGATGGATGGTTGGTTGGATGGTTGGTTGGTTGGATGGTTGGTTCGTTGGTTGGTTGGTTGGATGGTTGGTTGGTTGGATGGATGGATGGTTGGTTGGATGGTTGGTTGGTTGGATGGATGGATGGATGGTTGGTTGGTTGGTTGGCTGGCTGGTTGGTTGGATGGATGGATGGTTGGTTGATTGGTTGGTTGGTTGGATGGTTGGATGGTTGGATGGTTGGACGGTTGGTTGGTTGGTTGGTTGGTTGGATGGATGGTTGGTTGGTTGGCTGGTTGGATGGTTGGATGGTTTGGATGGTTGGATGGTTGGATGGTTGGATGGTTGGATGGTTGGATGGTTGGATGGTTGGATGGTTGGATGGTTGGATGGTTGGATGGTTGGTTGGTTGGTTGGTTGGTTGGTTGGTTGGTTGGTTGGTTGGTTGGTTGGTTGGTTGGTTGGTTGGTTGGTTGGTTGGTTGGTTGGTTGGTTGGTTGGTTGGTTGGTTGGTTGGTTGGTCCGTTGTTTTACCAGCCAGTGATTCAGGGCACCCCCCCCTCCTTATTGGATAGATGGAAACCAGTGATTCCATTTCCCGCCTTGGGCAACAGGTAACCAATTGCCACCCTTGGCCAGGAGAAAGCTTGTTTGGTTACCTATACGGCTCGCCTGGGATCCATAGGGCCTATAGTCAGGCAACCCTGGTGGTTTGGAGGTCCGGCGGGATTTTTCATTTACCGCCTACAAGAACCAGGGACTCATCCGCTTCGCACCGTTTCATAGCTGGTTTTTTCCTCGATATATTGCATCTCTCAACTGCAGGAGTTCGTTCCATTTTAGTACCACTGCCAGACGGATCGCTTACTGTTTAAACCTGCACCAGCCTCTTTGGTTTTCCTTCATCTGTCTTTTCAACCAGCAAAAACGTAATGTTGGGAATCGGATTCGATTGGCCCAGCTACTTCGGTCTTGGGGATGTGGGGATTTTCGACCAAAGGTTCCTATTGAGGGTATCTTGAGGAGCTTGGTGGACGGAGAACATCCACTTCGCACGAGCGGGGATGGACGAAGCCCTAATATAAATACAGAACCACCCGGGTGAGCGAGCCGGTCACCGAGTACAAATTTGCGTGAGTTTTGTGTCATTCCACGATGGTTTCTACTACCCCAACCTGCCCCCACGGAAAGCGGGTAATATATACTCTAAACCCCGACAGTGTCTTATGTAGTGGCCTATCAAACTAGACCCGCGGGGGTGGTTTCGAGCTGCAAGATCCGTGAGGGCACATGTTGGCATCACATGTTAATGTGCCACAAAAAAGTGCCAACTTGTTGATCTCTTGAATTCAGCCGCGAGGGATTATTCCATTGATCGCTTCACCAAATGTCGAAGCCATTAGCAGTGACTCAAGCCACCTATGGCCTGGGCGGCTTTCGACCTGCAAACCATCTCGCCGCGTCATAAACCCCGAAATTCAGTTGCCACCACTCAAACAAAGGGGCTTCATGCACCCACCATTTACCTCAGCATTGCCATCCGAATTGGGCCCCAAGGCCATTCTTTTCATGGGAATTGGTTGAACCCTAGGGTAAAGCCTCAGAGTCTCCAGGCTCTGGAAGAGAATGGACTCTAGGGTTGAAAGGGAACAGGGAAGTGGCTGGTTGCTCGTCGGTGTCGACTAAAGTTTTCCTCGCGGTGGACTCCTCGTGCTGTGCACCCATGGTTTTTTTTTCAGTCTTACAGCTGGTTTCCCCTAGCCGGTTTTGAGCCAATTCTACGGAAGGCTCCTTGAGCAGAATCTACTCCCTGAGGTTCTGGGCTTTAGTCACTTTTTGGGTTTGGTTGCCATTTTAGCGGCAACCAACCAACAAGTGCTTGTTTTTTTTCTGCAGCTTCACTCAGGAAGTGAGGAATGCGGAAGGAGGGAGGGGTGTACGGCTAAAAGTTTGGCGTGCTAGGTGCATTCACGCAGGTCCCTTCGAACCCTCCCTCCTTGCGGTTGGTTGCTCTTGAAAGTCACTATATGTTCTTTGGTTTGTTTGTCCATTATGCGCCTTGGCCGAGACTTACTTTCCCTAGAGCCCAATTCCGGTACAAGGCCAGCATTTCCAGTATTGATGTGAAGATGTTGGGAGATGTTCTCAAATTTTGTTCTTAAGACTTTCATGTTTACCGCCATGGTAAATTTGACAGTTCCACTTTGTCCCGTTTCAGGTTATGAAACGTCATGTTTGTTCAGAGCTGTGGATTGTTTGTTTTATTTTCTCCTTTTACCTTGGAGGAGGGGGCTTCCCTGTGAATACAGCTGCCAAACCAAAACAGTTGTATCCCCAACGGCGTCCTCCGGAACCCTTTCAGAACCCTCTCTCCCAGAGCCCATTTGAGGAGTGACCCCGTCATTGCTTTCACTGCTTAGGGAAAACACGGTCATAGTCAGCGCCAGACGCCGTTGTAATGAAACGTATACAGGGAAGAGGGGTCCTGTAGAAGCCCGCGAAATTCAAAGCGCAGGCCCGCGCACAGCGTCTCGCGCAAGTGCCAACAAAAAATCCCGCCGCGAGAGCCCCGGGAAGGCATGCATTCCGAAGGGTGCCCGCGAAAGCAAAGCCATGGTCTTTTATTTTTTGTGCCAAGAGCTTGGCATCGCTTGGGCCAAAAGGTTGCTGGTACTGCGGAAATAGTTGGTACCCAAAATGGCCAGGACACTTCAGGTAGAAATGGGCCGAATGTTGTGAAGGTGCTGGTTTTCATTTTTCCCACATAAGCCCAGGCGGTATCCGAACAACATCCCCGGAACTGCCTGGGTTTTTCTGGAACCCTCCCTGAAAGCTGCTCCAAACCCGCCCAGAACCTATCTCATCTTTTCCCATGCAAATCCTCTGGGCCGCTCAGGGAGTACCCCCTGGTGAAGTCAGAGAAGGAGCCATCGACTGGGCGCTTTATCGATTTGCAGCGAGCTGCATGTTTTCATGGCTCCCTAGGGTTAAACCAATTCCCATGAAAAGAATGGCAAGGACCCGAAACGAGGCCCTGGTCAGGAGCTTCTTCTGGACACACATGGGGTGATTTTTTGCTGAGGGACCCTTTGGTGGACGTCATTTGGCTGTGGGTCAAAACCAATGCTTTGGTGCATTTTGCTTGGATGTTAGGACTTTAACTTTTGCCAACTAATGGGTTTTCCGTATTAAACCACTAGAAGTTAAGCCTTTAGCAGAGCATAAAGCAACCGAGAATGGTACCATGTTAGGGTAGGTGAATTCACCACCCATTTTAGAACCTATTTGTGTGGTTGGATTGAATGGGATGTTTACTGGGGGCTAACCGGGTACGATTTGGATTTTGAGAACCATGGCCATTTAGTGAGAGGTGGCTTTCTATTTAAACTCTTTGTCAAATGGGTATGGCTCAGCAAACCGGAATTCCAGAATGGGTGCCCTGGTAAGTGGAAACATGGACCAAAACCTGTGGTATGCCCCTAGCTCTTTCATCTTGAGCCACTGCCAAATGGCTTTTCCATCAAGCCTACAAGAGGTCCTACGACTCTTTGCTCGGGCGGGCGGGGTGGAGAAGCCCAGCGAGCTCGTTTTTTTTTTTTTGCGAGCTCACGGGGAATCCTTACCTCTTAAAAACAGAACCTTTCTCAACTTTTTGGGGTAACATGGGCTATATGGTTGTAAAAGATGAAAACTTCCCCAGGGCGCAGGGAGTTTTAAGGGGTAAGGGAAAAAGGGACGCGATGAAGATGCTGTACTTGGAGATCCCGAAAGTTAGAGATAGCATGCCGGCCATTGCCCTGGTCTTGTTATAGGAAACCAAAGGAACCACCTGTACACACCAAGCCAGCGAATCTGGGCAAGAAAAGCTCTTTCTTATTTCCCGATGAGTTCCAGTAAGGGGATAAATGACTACGAGGCTGTCTTGTTTGAGGGTACCTTTTTTTGTGGTTTTAAAGGGAAACAAAATTGGAGAAACCAGCATTCTGGGTGACTGGGGGTTCCCCTAAAACAGAACTCCTCAGCAACGTACAATCGAATAGTCATGACTAGACTCTGCTTTGTTTTCAAGTGCCCCACCCCGATTTTAATTTACAAATGATCCAATGGGCACACGAGTTCGGCTTCATGTTTTAAACTTTGAGAAGGAGAATGACTCTGTATGGGTCTCAAAGTAGGTTGCCCCAAGAATAGTGGTAGTTGTCCTTTTGTTATTCCTTTGAAACCAGCGGATCCTCAAAACAAGACGGACCCAGAAGGGGCAACTTGATGGTGTTGGATAAACAAATCCCGTTCGGCCAATGTAGCCGATTGACTCTTCTCGGACCACTCCCAGGTGTTGGATACCTGCCCCTGCAATGCCATCAAGTGTGTTTTTGTTGTAATGTTAACACATGGACTAAGAATACCCCCCTGGTTGATTCATTGGAGAGTCGCCTGTTAGTAAGATACGCTGATTAATCCCAGTTTCCATATAGCTGAGCTTGGACGCACACACACCAGCCAATACGCCAACGCAGTTCTCGGGATCTGAAGACAGACTCCTCGAATTTAACCAATCCCCCCCCCCCAATTTCCGAACAAACACTTCCTTGCACGTTTTGTTGGGCACATCCACGACGTGAGTTTGCATATTAACGTGAGGGGTGAATTGTCTCTTGTGAGCTATATTATTCCCCTGAGTCGGCTCGCCTTTTTGATTTGTTTCTTTCTTGGGATCTCTTTTGTTTCTCACTAGCTATAGGCAAAAACATATTTTGTTTTGCCGGGGTCCCAATTCCAGCCAAGTATTGGTTATTATATTATGCTCCGGTGCAATTGCTTTGAGAAATCAGCTACAGGACTTTTCCGCAGAAACCCGTCCCTTTTGATGAGTCTTTCGCTGGCTTCCTATAGACTCTCCCAAAACCCGTTGGACATGCATGTGGGAGCTTCATGGGGGCTGGGGGGGAGGGAGGGGGGCGGGGAAGGAGCTGCAATAAGCCCCAAATAAGGCCTTAGGGGCTTAGTAAGGGCTTATTTGAGCTCCCCCTCCCCTCCCTCCCCTTGAGAGTTGGAATCCTCAAGTGGTCGGACATGAATCGCCGAATTCTGAGGTGAGGCTCCCTAGCTAAAATTCCACAGCCACTGCGCGCTTTCTCGCATGTCCCCACAACCCTGTTGATGGCTGGACCCGAACCTCGTTTCAGATCTGTGCCGAAACATGTGAGCCACAATCAAAACGCGGGTAGATGAAGGTTAGTAAGGAATAATCCCAACCATAAATGGGTGCCTTCGCCGCTTTATAATTATTTGCATGGTTTCTGGGTAGACCATTTTAATACCAGGTTTGCTTCTGACCCATGTGTTGAACCAATTCTAGTCCAAGATCCTTTTTGCTAATCGACCGAATCTGACCTTTTGCTTCTGGTAACCATGTTTAGTTGGCTGCTGTTCAGGGGTCTGAGCTCCCATTTGCTTTCAAACAGGGTTGTGGTCAAGGGGTTTATCCCCACTTCTGTGATACAAAGGAATCTCCCCCTTTATATGGGGAGGTTAGTCTTTGGAAGCCCTTTTGTTGTATCACAGAAGTGGTCATTTCCCACAGCCCTGCTTTCAAGTAGTTGATATTTTCCCTTGGTGGTTTGTCAGGGAATCGATCACCAGCACCCCCCAACTGCTTTTTGGTTGTTGTTTTTGGGTTGAAAAAGCAGTTGGGTGGCACAGGGTGATTCGAGTCACCGAAAGCTGCCCATGGCGGATTGACCGAGTTGAGACCTTTGGGATTTTCCATGGTAGCCATTTTTGAGTGGCCCCAAAGGTGACCCTAAGGAGCAACTGAGATGCAATCAAACCCAGGTAGATGAAGGTTCAGGCATGGTAAGCAGACATGGGTGCATTGGCCGCCTCAATTCTTTAGATGGCTCTGGGTAGACCATTTTGATGCTCGAAATCCAGCACCACTTTCAAGCCATTGGAAACCCTTGTTTGTTGGTATTCACAGGGGAGTAATCATTCCAGGGTTTCTTGGGTGGTGCGAAATTCATTTTGTCCATCCACACTCTAGGAACTCTTATGGGTGTGTCTTTTTTCAGGATCCCCGCCCCCCCAAAAAGTGAATCCCACGGGTGAATTCAAGGAACATGTGCCTCAAAATAGGTGACCCAGCTGGGTGGTTTCCTCTTCCCTTGAAACCAACCCCAAAACGGGTACCCTTGAATTGATTAGCTTCAGCAACTGGACGTTTTGATTATGACACAGAGTCATCATTCCAGGGTGTCTTAGATGTGAAATTAATTTTGTCATCAGTACCATTTGTCTAGGGGTACCTTCCCCATTCTTTGCAGGGATCCTTCTTTTCAGGAAACCATCAAACACCCAGGGGAAACGGATCCGGATTTTGAAAAGAACGATGCTTAAAAAGTATGGGGAATCAACCCCTAGAGCAATGACCTCTTGGTTTCCTCATGTTGGAACCATTTCTAGTGGCAACAGGTGACCAATTTTTTGATTTCTGGGTCGAAATCGAGCCAGTGAGACCCATCAAATCGAATCAAACCCTTGATGATGTCTCGGAGTCCTCAGGACAAATTCGGGAAGACACCTTCCTGGAGCATCGGCGCCGCAGGGCGGTCAGATGGCACCCCCGGCCGATTTTTTTTCTCGCTCGACCCCGCTCGATGTTTTTTTCGGGTGGGATGGCGTTGGGTTTGTCGAGTCTTATCTTTGGATGGCTGAAGAATGGCTCTAGTTGACTTGCTGCAATCATGGCTAGACTTGTTTCTTTTTTGCAAGGTCCCCACAACCCCAGTTGATCACATGTATCGTGTGTTGCTAAGCTACCCTTGTTCCAGTCCTGACAAAGTCTCAATTTGTTCACAGCCACACGCCCATTGATCTTCCTAGTGCCACAGCCAACTTGTTTCCCCACAGCTGCAAGTCAGGAGCGGTTGTTCAACGCCCACCATTTTAACCTTTTGGCTTTCCTGTTTTGGTCTCTCTTTTTTGTTTTGAAAAAAGGTCCCAAAAGGTTAACCAAGGGGAACCCTGAAAATGGACGGTGGATTTCGCTTAAAACCGCCGAAAAAGGATGGTGCCCCCAAACCTGCACAGCCATATTATCATTAAAGCAGATGTGAGGAACGGCCTTGCCAGATTGGTACGGTAATTATGATTCAACATTGTCCCAAATTGGTTCCTCGTCCAGTTGCTAGGCTTCCATTTGCGCTTCGGACGATTTAGCGCATTTTCCTCGTTGGTTTTAAGGGAATCGATGTCACTACTGGACCTTTTGTCTCATTTTTCCAGGGGACCTACTGGCAAATGGAAGTATACACATTCATATAGTGAGTTGTTGTTCAATGCACGGTGACATCTGGTTGCAACCAACACCCATGGTAGAGTTTCTCTTTTGGGGGTCGGGCGGGCTCGATTCCGAATCAGTTCCGTCCTTCACCGAGAGATACACGGTCAAAAAGAGGAAAACGGTTTGGGGTACCCCTATCAGACAAGCCCCTAGAGAGACAGAGAGAGAGAGAGATAGGAAAAGCAAGAGAGAGCGAGCTCACTTCCTGAGTTCATGAACTTTAGTCATGTGGCCATGGGTCAAAGCCCTGTACCCCCAGTGAACATCCCAATCCCCACACAAATAGACTAAAATGGGTGATGCACCTACCTCAACATGGTACCATTGGTTTTGACCCACAGCCATGTGCTTGGAAGACTCTGTGCAAAAGGAACCCATTTGTTCGAAGCCATTTAGACTCACACCTCCAGCTATGGGGTCTCTGCCCAGATAGGCTCTAGGGTGGTTTACAGCCAGGGAGGGTTCAAATCGAGAATTCCAGTTTGAGCTGCTGCAGATAAGAGGGCTTGCTACTGTTGAATTCAATTACCTATGATGAAACCCCTGTTGAAATCCCCTTGTAAAAATAAAATACCCCTTTTCAAACATCAACTAGACAACTACACATCCCCTTTGAAATCTAAAAGGTTGTTACCGTTGTAACATCAAGTACCCCGTCTCAAAGTAGCTACCCGGTTCAAAAAGTTAGGTCCTCTTTAAGGTCAACTACCCCTTCTGAAGTCAGCTACCCTTCTAAACAGTGAGTTACCTTTTTTTAAGGCCAGCTACCCCTTTTTGAAGTTAACTACCCTTCCTGAAACAGCAGTTCCCGTTTTCTCGAAACAACTCCTTGTGAAATCGACCACTTCTGAAATCGGCTAAATACCCTCTTCAAATCTACTACCCCCTTCTGAATTCAGCTCATCCTTCTGATTTGTTTTTGTGAAATCAACTACCCTTTAAAAAAAGTTAGTTCCCTTCTAGCCTTTCTGAAGGCACTACCCTTTCAAAAAGTTTGTTGCCGTGTTAAAATCATCTATACCTCTTCTGAAATCAACTACCCCTTCCAAATTCAGCTACTCCTTCTGAAACATGAATACCCTCTTCAAGTCAACCACCTCTTCTGAAATAAACTACCCCTATCAAAAAATAGTACCTTTAAGATCAACTACCCCTTCTGAAATCAACTACCCCTTCTGAAACATCATCTCCCCCCTTGCTGCAAAATTCCTTTCCCTCTGAAAAGTAAACCTCCTCCTCTGCTACATTAATCTCCCTAAATTCATTTTCCCTCCCTAAATTCATCCCTTACCCTCAAACAGCCAAAATTCATCTCCCTAGATGCCCCGAATCATTTTTGTCGGGGGGCGGCTGTTTCTGGGGCCCTCTTGGGCCTTCACCCGCAGGCAAGGCGTGGGCGGCCATGCCTGGCACCCGGGAACTTCCCGACTTCCGACCCGAAGGAAAGGGCGCAGGAGAGGTTCTGGTGCTGGGAGGCGCACAGGGGGGTTGTTTTTGCATGATAGCTTATTGTTTCATGCAGCTAGAGGCTAGCGGGCTCTGTCCGACAGCAGCAGAGAGACGGTAAAGCCAGACTGTTGCTTCTTGTTTTGTTTTTGGTTGATCATTTACTTGGTGGCTCCCAGCCATCCGGTTCAGACATGTTTTGTGTTTTTGCCTTTTATGAGGGCAGCCCAGTTTATTACGGGATTTCGCTTTTTGATAATTTACTAGGTCGTCCCCCAGCTAGGTGCCCTTTTACCGAATCTTTTTTGGTTGGGAGGGTTCCCCTAAGATAGACTACAGAAAAAGTTGGTACCCTTATTCTAACCGCTCTACTGGAGGACCTAGTTTATTGTTTCACGCAGCTAGCGGTGGCGATCGATTGTTTTGTGCAAACCGTCAGGAAAGTCAACAACTTTCGATTTGGAGAAATCCAGTGACCCCCCCATGTTAGGTGGTTCTACGGTGGGTGCCCGTTCGTTTTTTTGCAAGTAGGGGAACAAGAACGACCCCTACTTTATATACCGTGAGTTTCCCATGGGTTTGTGGGTTGTGGTTGGATTTGATTTGGGACATGGAGGGTTGAACAGACCTCCCCCAAAACAGAACGCTATTTGAGGTAGACACCAGCGATTGCTTTCTTCGGGGGTAAACCGCTAGTTCGGACATGTTTGGCCCAATCCACTCAGACTCAGGTAGAAGCTCTAGGTCCCCCAGTAGTGCCCTGTCTCACCCTTTTTCGGGGGATGGTTCCCCTACTAAATAGACTACAGAAAAAAGTTGGTACCCTTGTTCTAACCTCTCTACTGGAGCACCTAGAGCTCACTCTTCATGGACTTAGTCACTTTGGGGGGTTGAACTATTTTGGCAACCAACAAGTTTGGTTTTTGGCTATTTTTGTTGATCGGAAGTGAGAGAGGTGGTTCTACATCTCCTAACAGGCAGGCCACCCACCCACCCACCCCCCCCACCCACCCACCCACCGACCCACCCAACCAGGTCCCTTTAGGGATTCCTTCCCACTCACGCCATCGAACCGCACGGCTCGAGGCCCGGCCCCGGCGCCTACACGCCAGCGGACCCCTCCTTGGTGTCCCCAAAGCCGGGGCCCCCGAAAAACGCTTCGGCGCTTCAAAGCCGGCGGGGTGCGGCTTCGGACTGGGACTGGGCGTGCCCTCTTAAGCGAGCGTTCAACAAATAGATTGCCGGCGTGCCATGTTTAAGCAAGCCGGCGATATGACTTGCTATTGAGCCACAGTTTTGGGAATGAACCTAGGGTTTCCCTTAAAGGAAAGCATGGGGGATTGTTTATTGGGGTCATTCCCTCATTGCCTGTTGAGAACCAGACATTTGAGGGGTGTGACTTTTGTGATAATGACAAAGTGTTGGGGCGTTTTTGTGTTCGGACTTTCTTCAGGGCTTCTGTTTGCAGGTTGTTTGTTCAATGAAATGCCGATGTGTGTTGGTTGCATTTGTTTGTGAAACGCAAACATTCACATGGGTGTCATCGTCAGGTCGCCGATGGTGTAGAATGAGCGCCCCTTACTTGGGGAGTCCTTACTCCCCTACAAGGAGTTTACTCTACAGATTTGTGATTTTTGGGGGGGTCCGTATTAGTTTGTGGGGGATGAGCTCGGTTGGGAAACTGCAGTACTGTGATGTTGCCATTTGACTCCGGGCCCATTGTCTCTGGTGGTGATGCTCAAACGGGAACCCTTTTAGCATGTCTCAAAAGGAGGGAACCGCAAAATGGGGTGGAAACTCCCTCTAGTTGTTCACCCAACCACCCAAAAAAGGGTACCCTCAACAAAGACATGACACAATGTCCACTCTTGGGATGTGTTTAGCAGCACTTAGTTGAACCACCAGGTGGGTAATATCTCTGAGGCCATGATTTTGACAGTTTCCAGGGTCTTATCAACGTCAATACTGGGGTTGCTACCTGTTCACCGGATTTCCGAAGGGGTTCACTTCCTGGTAAAGACGCTCTTTTTGTTGTTTATTTCCGTCAAAGCAAACCATGTATATATGCTGGACTAATAGTCCTTGGTTGCATCCCATTTCGGAGGGAACAGATGTTGGATCATGTGAACTCTGGGAAGAAACAATGGGTGAAACCTATACATTGGCATCCTGTCCTTTCCAACTAGAAGGAGTCCTGGTCCACATTGACAGGCTTAACACAAAGACATCTGTACCAACGCGGGGGGCCTTCCCGACTAGGTAAGAGTGCGGATGGACATCGCATTCTTTTCTGGATTGTCGCGTCTGCTTAAGCCTTAGCCACCCACTTTTCTGCCGTCCTGGGTCCGTCATTTGGTGTCAAGTCGTGAGAGACAATCAAACAAGCAAATAAACAAACAAGCAGGAGTATGGGAGGTTGTCACTATGAACCTTCACCTTGTTTACTTGATGGATCTGCACCAAGTAGAAACTCCGCTGTGTTTTTAGGCTAGCAAAGGGGCTTCTATTGTCTTCAAACCGCCCGGCTTTGAACAGAGCTGTTCCTTCGCGTTTTATCCGGGGCTGGTCTGTTTACAGCCGCCCCTGGTGCATGTTGTGTTTGGCAACTCCACCTGCATAGGTGTGATCTGTTTTGGCTTGAAATAGATCGCACTGGTTTAGATGGGTTTATTCTAGGGGTTGATTCCCCATTCTTTTCAACCATCGTTCTGTTCAAAAACCAACTGTTTCCCCTGGGGTTTTGATGGTTTCCTGAAAAGAATGGGGAAGGTACCCCTGGATTTATTCCATTTACCAGGGCCATCTATTTTTCAACAAGGTCACTACCCGAAAAGAAAACTCGGGCTTTGCCTCCTGACCCCTCGAGGAGTTCTACACGGGCGTTGGAGCTTGGTGTTGGGCTCCAAAACGCCCAAAATTCAAAGATCAACCACACTTCCCTTCTTTCAAGCGCACCGAAAGAACAGCCTGGGGACCCTGGACATGATTGTGATTATCATCATCATCATCATCATCATCATCATCATCACCATCACCATCACCATCACCATCACCATCACCATCATCATCATCATCACCATCACCATCACCATCACCATCACCATCACCATCACCATCACCATCACCATCACCATCACCATCACCACCATCACCATCACCATCACCATCACCATCACCATCACAATCACCGTCACTGTCACCATCACCATCACCATCACCATCACCATCACCATCACCATCATCATCACCATCACCATCACCATCACCATCACCATCACCATCACCATCACCGTCACCGTCACCGTCACCGTCACCGTCACCGTCACCATCATCACCATCATCACCATCACCATCACCACCATCACCACCATCACCACCATCATCACCATCACCATCACCATCACCATCACCACCATCACCATCACCATCACATCATCACCACCATCACCATCACCATCACCATCACCATCACCATCACCATTACCATCACCATCACCATCACCATCACCATCACCATCACCATCATCATCACCATCACCATCACCATCACCATCACCATCACCATCACCATCACCATCACCATCACATCACCACTATCACCATCACCATCACCATCACCATCACCACCACCACCACCACCACCACCACCACCACCACCACCACCATCACCATCACCATCACCATCACCATCACCATCACCATCACCATCACCATCACCATCACCATCACCACCACCACCACCATCACCATCACCACCATCACCACCATCACCACCATCATCACCATCACCATCACCATCACCATCACCATCACCATCACCATCACCATCACCATCACCATCACCATCCACCATCACCCTCACCCTCACCCTCACCCTCACCGTCACCGTCACCGTCACCACCACCACCACCACCACCATCACCACCATCACCACCATCACCACCACCATCACCACCACCACCACCACCACCACCACCACCACCACCACCATCACCATCACCATCACCATCACCATCACCATCACCATCATCATCATCACCACCACCATCATCCCCAAGTCCCAAGGAACACCGACAGAACACCAAAGTTCAATTTTTTCGCACCGAAAGAACACCCCAAGGCCGACCACGATGCATACGTTCTCGCCAACGGGTCCAAAGCTACCCCTTTCTGGACACTTCCCCCCGCGCGGCCCGACCTACCTCGCCGGTAGGTGGGGCTTCACCAACGACAATCGGCTGAAGCCCAACAAGAGGTCTACCACCCCAGGCTCTATGGGCTGTTGTTCTTTTTGTGTGGGGCGTTATGGCTTTTGCAGGGTTTATTGCTTTGCTGTCTTGCTGGTGTCCTTGCTGCCTTTCTTTTGTTCTTGGTATGTGGCTGCGTGTGGTATTGTTGTCCTTGTTGACAAGTTATGTGTTTGCTTTGTTGTCTATATTAGTGTTATGTTTTTATGTTTGTTTTCGTTGTTCTTTCTTCACATATGTCATTGTTATTTGCTCATCTCGTTACTACGTATGCCTTTTGCTTGTCATTAGTTGTATATGTGTTGATCCATGTATGTGTTTCATCTGTTCTTTCATCTTTTTTTTTTTTTTGCGAGTGTATGGTTTATCTACTCCTTGTTTGTTCTTGTTTGTTTATTCCCTTCTTCCTTCCTTCCTTTATTTATTGGTTTGTCTGAATGTGTTGCTTGTCTGTCTTTTCTTTCTTTTCTTTTTTTGCTCTTCCGTTCTTTTGTTATTCCTTCCTTTGTTTCTGCATGTCGTTTTCTTCCTTTATGTATTTAGTGATTTCTGCCTATATACATGTTTCTTTATTTGTGTCTTTCTTTTGTTGATATTGTTTATTCCCGTTTTGCTTCCTTTCTTACTTCATTTCTTTCTTTGCGTTCTTTCCTTATGTCTTGCTGTCTTGCTTTACTGGCTTGTTTCGGTACTTGTTTGCCCGCTTTCTGGGTGTTTTGCCTGCTTGCTTGCTTGCTTGCTTGTCTGCCCATCTTTCTTTCTGTCTCTCCGCCAGTGTCTTTTCATTGTTTCCTTTTGTTGCTTGCTTGTTTATTGGTTTGTTTATTTAGTTGTTCGTTCATTCGCTTGGTTGGTTGGTTGGTTGATTGCGTGTTTCTTTTGTTTCTGTCATTTGTTTTGTTTGTTTCGTTTGTTTGCTTCCTTGCTTGTGTGCTTGTTTATTTGTTTGTTTGTTTGTTTGTTTGTTTGCATGTTTGGTTGGTCGCTCTTCTGTTTGTTTTGTTTCTTCTTTTTCAATCAAATACATATATGCATATAAGTTTGTTTGGTCGTTTTACTGTGTTTTTGTGCACGGTTGGTTGCTTGATTTTTTGCTTCTGCATGTTTTGCTGCTCTATTCTGGTGTGTGTGTTGCTTGCTTTGCTTGCCTGCTTGCTTGTTGTGTTGGGCGGTGCTTGTCTTTCGCATTTGCTGGCCTTTGCTTGTGATTCGTTTGAGTTGTTTGTGTTTGTTTGTTCTTGCTGCTTGGTTATTTGTTTGTTATGCTATTGGTGTGTTTGTTCGTTGCTGTCTGTGTTTCCGCCGCAATTGCATTCTTGCTGTTGTCTTTGTCTTGCTGTTGTCTGTCTTTCTTGCTGTTGTCTTTGTTTCATTTGTTGGTTTTTTCTTCCCGGAGTCCCGACTTGCACTGTCAGCACCTGACAGTACGGCTTTGCTTTTGTGCATGCGCCACGGTGCCACGAGGTCTTGGCGTGTGAGCTGTTTGTTGTATGGGCAATCTGACCCAGGGGTTTGGTGGACACCCGCCTCTTTGCAGCAATGCAATGAATCTGCAGAAATCATGATCGATGTGCCTGGGAGTAAACACGCTCACCCACGAAGGTCTCGAACGGAGAAGGACCATGCTTCCAGTTTGTGAGTTACAGTCATTTGCCCAGACGGATCTTGCAACATTAGCTTCCCTTGGGCTTGGAAGACCCCACAGCATGCTGGGCAGTACCAAGGAGATTTGGGAAAAATCAGATACTGGGACCCGGGTGCTGGGGGAACACATGTTTCCCTGCAACCTGATACTGTATCACTCAGTTTCCCGCCTGCGTCCTACTGCCAAAGAAACACGTGGATATGGATTTGTTTTATGGTTTCCTTTAGAAGCAACCAAACAACAAAAAGATGAGTGTGTGTGTGTGTGTGCGTGCTTTTAAGGGGACCCCCCCAAATCAGTGGCCTTCCTTGTGTGGTTCCTTGAACTTGACAAGAACAGGGGTTCCCCAACCAACCAACACCCGCATATATGGCAATGAGTCACAAGCCCGTACCCCCAGTGAACATCCCAATCCCCACTAAATTAGACTAAAATGGGTGGTGCACCTACCCCAAAATGGTACCATTGGTTTCGACCCACAGCCATATAGAGGCGCGTCCCGGCGTCAAATCCATTCGCAGGCCCTGGACAGTACGAGCTGAAGACCACGTTGCAGGGCCCACCGCCCTAAGTCACCGGATTCGAAACCCGCGGAATCTGACACCAGCGAGAGCTCGCGAACCAGATTTGCCACCGGGAAGGTTATAATACTTTGCATTCTTCCTATGAGAAGTTATGAGTCCCGATATGTGGCGATGTAAGTAGTCATTTGCCTGAATTGTCAAACGGAGTTATTGCAGTTATAGTAATTTTTGCATATGTTCTCTGCTGTGGATGGTCAAAATCCATTTCACGCCAGTTGGGATTGGTGGTGTATCCCATTGTGTATGGGGCTTCCTTGATCCCAACTGGTGCGAAGCGAATTTCGTCCATCCACGGTCCGGTATGGGGATTTTTAAGCTTGAACTTTTGGGATACCTCTCAAGTTTTCTTTTAATCTCCAGTGATGCCACCGACCAGTTGCAGCATGCAACAAGTAGAACTATCTTCTGGGGGATCCCGACTCCAGGCGTTGATTTCCGTTGGCCCCACCGGGATCCCCGGATTTTTGTGTGGGGAGCCAGACCGCTTTTGCAGGGGGGCGGTTCCCCCGAGTGATAGAACGGGTTTGGTTCTACCACTCTATACGGACCACCAGTAGAAAACAGCCAAATAGACGAGTATGGTCCAGTGTTGTCAACCCTCCTGGCCTCCCGCCCAATGGTGTCGACATGCAGTTAATTACAGGCTGCGTGGTGTGGAAGCCAGTAGGGTTACACTCTTAGAGGTATCATGAGGTCCCGTTTGCCTGGTTCTGGCCGTTTTTGGTATGGTTCTCGCACAAAACCGGAATTGGGGGGATTCCAGTTCTGGTTCCCTGTGCAGTTCCCTTTGACGAGACTCCTGGACATTTGCCCTCTGGAGGTAGGGGAATGTTCTCGCAAGGAGGTTTGGAACGGGTTTGGGTGCTTTGCCGCTCGGATTGGCTTGGTGATATGAACCCCTGGCTCTTGTAGAGGGCAAGATCGAAACTTTTGAATCCACCGATTCGGCCCCAAACCACCCGTTGTCAGGGACGCTTGATGCAAGGTGCTGAGTTTGCAGGTTTTACTGGGTGTCATTGTTTGTCCGCTTCTCAGGGTTTCTGTCCGTTCTGAACGGGCTCGTGACTTTGGTAGAATGGGGCCAGTGTCACATGGGGGTTAATCAATATTCCTGACCATGGGTAACTTTTCGCATTGAGTGTTTCAAATATCATCTTAGTGGCTTTCACCAATGGTCATCCCATGTAAAGGACCTTTTGATCAATCCCCGCATGCCGGTCCAGGATCTGCCTTTAGACTCGTGATCTGCATTTGGCCCTGCCGGTCCAGGAGCTGTTGAGGTCTTTTCAAGGGAACGTCATTTGGAACACTTCCCTACCAAGGGCGAACTTCCCTTGTACTAGCGCAAAGGCAAGCCCTAGCGCTGCTTGGTGTACACGTGGTTTCCCTGCATACTGAAAATGGGGTGCGGGAAAGCCCCCACCTTTCGCCCGCTCACGGGCGCCGTGTTTGGTTGGTGTCGCATCCTTTCCGTCTGAGGAAAGGACGTGTCCATTTGCAGCAAGCCTGAGGGAGGCGCTGACCTGCTTGCCGTTTTTAGGCTCTTTTTGCTTTGTGTGCATGTGGTCAGGTCGCCCTGAGTTGGCATTTTGGACTGGTTTGGGCATTGGAGCCCCTGGCTTTTGTAGAGGGGGCACATGGGAAACGCCTCCTGAACCACCAACCCACCAATGCAAACCACCAATCGGAGGGAAGCAACGCCCAAAACTGCTTAGTTCCCTTTGGTTCCAAAAGAAAGACGCCCATATACATTACATGACATGGCTGGCTGTGGTGTGACCCGTTAATCCTACAAAAAATGATCGACCTTTTGCGCTGGGGCAAGAGTCAACAGCAATCATCACGTCCCGATAGATCCTAGTTGGAAGCCACAGCGAATGGCAACTAGACGCCTCCTTTTTTTGCGTGACCTGGAGAAGCAGTTGTTGTTGCTCTTTTTTTTCCTTGGTCCGGCTTTTTTGCATGCTGAAGAAGAAAACCATGGCCTTTGAGTGGAATCCTTGGGATATGTCCTTTGTTGTTTCGCGCGTAGGAGCAAGGCCGGTGTTTGGAGACCCCAACTCCCAGACACAAGGCGGCAGTCCTTTTCTCTTCCATGTGCGTTGTATGGTCCCTGTTGGCTTTAAAGGGCATCAATGACTACTGGAAAGTGTTCAGTGGTTCAACTTATTTTGGAGTCAGCCGCCAAAAAGGATGCAGTTCCCCCCCCATTTCCCATGGAGTTCCTTTGTGAGCCAGCCTGGGATTGCTTTTGAGCCATGCGAAGCTACCGGGCAGCTTCAGCGACTTACAATAAAAGGCATATGAGTAATGTGAGTGTGTCCTTGTTTAGGGATCCCCCCGAACAAGACAACCACCGTGGTTTTCCTGTTGGCGTCCCTTTAAGCATCACAAAAAAGATGTAGCCACTCCAGAAAAGGAAAAAAACCACAAAAAAACACCGCCAATCTACACTTGCCTTTTGTAGGAACCCTTCAATGGATTTGTGTCCTTGAACATCTTGAAGTGCTTAATTGCGCTGGTCTGACCTTTGGATGTTTTTTGGGTTGGAAATTCGGAGATGAGGAATTCCATCAACCTGCGGCTTCCCAATAGCCAATTCCGGGTTCGCTTCTTGTGGTAGGGAACTCAACAGAGCCCCTGAATAGCCCCCAATGGGCCCCCCTGGAACCATCCTTTTTAGTCCGCCTTGAAAGCTCCGAACCGTCCGAGAGAATATTTGTGCAGAGACCCCCAACGCTTTCAGCTGGTGAAATTTGGAGGCTTGCGGCCTTTCTCTTTTGAGACAGTCAACGATTCGTCCCTTTCCCTGGCCGCTTTCTGTGTGCTTGGTGTGGCAGTTGGTTTCAAAGCCGGGTCTCTGTCTAGGCCACCCTGAAACTCTTGACTCTGCAAACGGGGGCAAACGGGGTCGACCCCCGACCAATTCCTCAAAAGCCCTTGAAACAACCCATTTGGGCGTCTCTTTCTTAGGGGATCCAAACATGGCGGTTCCCTCTTGGTGTTCATTTCAACCTGTACCCTCAAAAAAAAGTCGCGCCCATTTTGAGCCCCAAAATGGATCAGGAGCCGAAGGGGTCGGGTTTAGTTTAGGCACAAAGAAAGGACTCCCTTGAAGCCTCCAGTTCATGGAAAGGAACACCCCCCGAAAGGCCACGAAATCAAGAAAGGCGCCTTCAAAACTCAGCCACCAAACGGACTCCCTGGAAACAAAAACAAAAACAAACACCAGTTCGTGGAACGGGGAGAAGAAAAGCATCCTTCACTTCTCGTGGATGTTTTTTGGGGCCCTTCCGCGCCAAAGCCTTTTGAGGGGAAACGGGGAAACCGACAGGCGGGGGGGTTCAACAGTCCGTACCATTGGACCGCTGTTAATCTTAACCCCGGATTAATAAAACCCCGATTGATTAATAGGGGCCCCTTCCGCTTTTAGTGGGGATTCCTCACTTTTCGAGGGAGCACCCCCCTAATAATGGGACGGGTTTATTAATCCTGGGTCAACCTTAAAGCATAGCTTTGGTTTCCACCGCCGTTTGACACAATTCACCATGTTTTTGCAGCCATGGCAAAGAAGAGGAGCTAGTGCCAGGGCTTGAAGCCTCGAATTTAGCTTCCCTCCACTCATGGAAGTTCGGAACAGAAGGGGAGACGAAAGCTGTCCTTGGAAGCCCCCGCAACCCGCCAAGATTGGGAGGCTCAATTTGGGTGTGTCTCTTTTTGATGTGTAGTCCCTTTTTGGGTGCTTTTCCAGTCGGACACCATGTTCGGACACCAAAAGCCATGTTCGGGGGGACCCCGGACTGCCCTTGGCTGGTTTTCAAGGGACGGAAACTAGAGGCCATTTTCGGGGGGGGACGCCTAGGTTAAAAGACACCTCCATTTACCCAACACCTCGCCCCCCACCACCTCCCCCTCCCTCCCCCCCTTCTCCCACCGCTTCGCGCCGAGCGCTTCGCTGCGCTTGGACTCGACTTGGACCGCTCGACCGCCGCGCGCCGCGCGCGCCGCGCGCAAATCGCCGGCTGCGCCAGGCAAGAGCCTCACGGCGCTGCCGGGCCCGGGCGCCTTCACCCCCAGCTACGCCAGCACCTCCAACTATGGGCCCGGAGCCCCCGGATCGAAGATGGCCCGTCACCCCCAGCAATTGGTGGGGGCGAACTCTGTCTCACCCGCTGCGGTTTTTTTTTGGGTTGGAGGACACTTCCCCTAGAATCGACTAAAGAAGAAAGTCGGGTAATTGCTACCCTTATTCTAAATTCTCTCAACTCTGGAGGACCTAGGAAAGAAAGCCACAGATGGGGATCCATTTTTCGGGAGCGATGCAACGGGACTTGAGAGTCACCTTCTTTTGGGTTTGGACCAGTGTGGTGGGAAGACAAGCTTGAACTTGGTTTTGCATTTCGGGGGAGCTTCGTCTTAAATTCAGCTGGGAGAGCACTCCATGAGCGGAGGGAAGCTAGAAGCTGTTTCAAGCCCTGCTACCAGCTGGGGCCTCTTGCCATGGCTCAAACACAAGGCCTGATCGGAGCTGGGCCGTGTGACGCGCAGTGTTAGCGCGGACATCTTGCAAGCATCTGCTTTTGGGCCCTGATGTAGTGGGCCTGGAACATGTTTATCAAAGCTTCTATAAATATGACCCAGACCTAAGCCCATCAAAACGAGGTTACCCGTGGGAATCAACGGGGGTCAAGTCTCCCTTGGGACAATGAAATTACGGAAGCATGTTTCCCGGAATTGATTGCGATCTATCTCACCGATTTGGTTGAGGTACGAGGGAAACACCATGTACCTGCATGTTCGGCCCAGTGTGTAACTTATTTGTAACCTATAGGTAATACCCCACTCATGTGTCCCCCAGTGTTTCTTACCCTTATCTCAGCGGATCATACCCCACGCGGCCAACCACTTGCTAACAGTTAGTAACTTGGCCGAACATCCAAGTGTGTGGGGGAGCTTCCTTGAGTGGGGTATAGCTAGGCTCACGGATTGTGGGGTCGAACTATCAGGCCATCCGCAGTTTATTGGATGTCCCCTTCTAATGTTGGCTTCGGATGAATCCGGACCGTAGAGTGTTTATGCTGCCGCGTGCCTCGATTTTCTTGGGTACCACTTTTGGGGTGGATGAAAGGGAAACGAACAGGAACCCCGCCATTTGGGTTCCATTCCATTTCCTATTTTGACACCCACCCATGTTCAGTTTGCGAACAATGTTCAGATCCATCGGATCTGCTCGGCCGAATGTTGTTTTTGGGCAAGGGTTTACAGTAAACCTGGCAAACTGGGGGATTGATGTTTTGGAGGCTGACTTACTTGTTGGATCCCGCGTGTTTGGTGTTTAGCCGAAGACCCACAAAACCCTATAATTCCAGCACCACATTTTCCTAAGGGTAGCTTCCCAATTCTTCCCAGGGATCCGAATCTTTCTAGACAACCACAAACAACCCTGGGAAAACACCTGGTTTTTGAAAGAACGATGGTTGAAACGAATGGGGAATCAACCCCTAGAATTGTCCCCCACAAAGTCGCTGCACTTTTTTCAAGATCCCGCAATCCCTTCTGCTCGGACCCCCAAATGTGGCAATGGCTTGCTCTCACCGTCCCAATTGAGCGGCAAGCCGCATTGGGCCATGTCAGTAGGTCTTCGGGTAGAAGCCACAATCCATTCGAGGATTCGCTTGCCCAAAACTCCTCGTTTTTATCGGGGATTCCATTTTCTCGGGCATGTGCTTATTTTAAGCTGCTGGGTTCTGCAAGGGAGTCTAGTTCCCTACCAGACCTATTTCCTCGTTGGTTCCTGGGCATGAAACTCCCATGTTTTTCTTGAGGGCAACATTGGGGCATCCAAGGACTTGCAGCTGCGAGAGCTAGAGGGAAGGAGAAATGGAACCAAAAGAGAAAAAGAGAAATGGAATGAAAAACAAAGAGAACAAAATATCGAACTGGTGGTTTCCTTTGAGGGGATCCCGGGATCCGGTTCCTTCCGGTTCATTCCCCCTAAATCTTCTCGTTGTCTCCGCACTAAAAACGCACATGGCATGAGATCTCTCCGCTTTTCCGCCCTTCCGCCCGAAGGTCGGCGCCTGCCGTGGGCTTCGGAGCCGCCAACAGGAGCGCGGTCCGGGCCGGGCCGCCGCGCTCGAAAGCCCAAGGAGCCGAAGCAAACCGGAGACCGCGGGTTGCCGCGAGAGCGAGTCGACCGGTTGGCTTGGCGCACCGGGTGTCCGGGGCAAAACGAGCCAAACCCTTTTTTTTGGGTTGGGGAAACGTACCTCCACGGGTTTCCAGCCTGGGCAAATCGAGTCAAACCTTTTTTTTTGGTTGGGGAAGCAAGGCTGTGGATACTGATGGACAAGATCAACGGTTTCATCCCAACGGGCGCGGAGCGGATTTCAGCGTCATGAGGGGATTCGGTGGATTTGACCCTCGGAGTTTCTTTTTGGCTGTTCGGGACCCTCCGAAACTGGTCCACCCCAAGTTTTGTTTGGCTAAGCTGACTGGGTACCATGGAAGTATAAGGGGAGCCTCAGAAACAAGGCAGACTTTAGCTTCAGTGTTTGCCTCTGGTGTCCCTTGAGTTCACGGCTTTCAACCAGCAAGCTCACTTTTAGAAGCGGGGGTCTTAGGCTGGCGGAGTACAACTCACTCCCTGAGTTCATGGACTTGACACACTTGTTTGGACAGGGCTTCTTAAAAGATGGGCATGTTGCAACCATTTGAAACATGTTGCCTTTTCCACCAAAATAAAGGCAAACCACTGTTTACAAGGCAATGTTCAGGTGTATAATGGAAGGATCCCTGTTGGAAGAGCAGTTTAGCGGAACAAAAACTTTGGAGGGGGGCAATGTTCTCAGGAAGAGCGACAAACAAACCAAATAAATGCCAGGGGCGCTAAAAAGCACAGACCGCCAGTTACCACTGGGCCTACAAAGTTTGAGTTGATATGAGGGGACACTTTGGTGCATGTTGCTTGGATGTTAGGACTTTAACTTTTTGCCAGCGAATGGGTGTTCCGTATTAAACCACACAACGTTAAACTTTTAGCAGGGCTTTGCAGAAAGCAACCGAGGACAGACTCATAGATAGTTACTAACATGCTGGGTGTGTGTGTGTGTGTGTTTGAGGCTCGTCAAGGTGTGCTGTGTTGAGGTGCGTTACCTTTGCGGTTGGCTTAAACGGACGCCGAAACGAAAACCATCTTTTGGGTCTCCCCCTATTTTGTTCCGCCCCACGACCTCATAAGCATACCCTCCCACCAGCTAAGATGGAAGTGCACAGACCTCTGTAGAAAGACTACTTTCCTCTTGGGAAGGGTCTTGTTGCACTTCCATATTTGTTGGTGGGAGGGTAGTTCCCTTTGACATCCCCGGGTCACGAGTTAGGTTGTCGTTCCAACCCTCGGAGCTGCATTGGGAGTTACTAGGAAAGTGATCCCTGCCAGCACCTCCCAAACAGACAGTACTTGGGGTTTTGGACAAGGGAAAACAAAGTTGTTGGGGGGTTCTGGCGAAGCTGGTTTATTTCCCGCTCATTTCTCTTTCAGCATCCCACCACCCCTGCGAGTGACAGGCGATTTCGCAGTCGGATATGTTGTTCCCTCTCAAACCTCTGGCGATGATTCCGACACAAAAAATGGTTGCTATTGTGCTTTTTGACCCAAGTTGGATGGGACGAATGGTGTCGCACATGCTGGTAATTACCAAACACCATAGCGTCAAGAGGGGTAGGAACATCACCTTCCAGGTTCCCACAGGCGCCGTGCACAGGGCTGGCTTTGTTGGCTCTAAGTGCCCTCAGCCAGGAGCCTGTCTCAACATGAGGTCATACACCCAAAATCACTCCGGAGAACTCAGGTGTGGTCTGTTTTTTGAGGCTTAGTACCCTTTTTGAGAGCTTTTTAAGCCTGCGACCTGCAGGATTCATCACGGCCTTGCAAACGCTAGTTGCAGTTCGAACCCTGAGGTTGAACAGGCATCCCATTTTGCTTGGTGGCTCCTAGCCATCCCCTTAGCTTTTTTAGCCTTTTAGTGTTTAGTTTCTTTTTGACCCCTAAAAGTTAAACTTTTAGCGGGGGAACTGAGAGCAGCCCATTTTTTGTTTATGATGTCCAGCATCTGACTTTCCGTGCCACACCCGGTTCAGTGGTGAATCTTTTTTCCGTCTCCGACGGAACCAGGCTAGACTGAACCAAGCCTCGCCTCCTTTCGGCTCGCCTCGAATCGAACGGCAGGGGGAAGATGGTGTCGTCCAAGACGCCGGGACCTGGGCAGTATGAGATTCCCACCACGCTGATCGGAGCCTCGGACGTCTGGAGGTGTTTTTGGCCGAGAAAAAGCGGGGCCGAAAATCGACCGGGGCTCTGACCTCTTGACTTGTTTCTTGGGCCAAAAGGTCTACTTTGTTTGGTTTCGGCTACTTGTTGTTTGTTGTTTTTCGGTTTGGGCCACTTAGTCAAGGTCCCCAAAGGTGGTCGCCTAGTTCTGGGTCTGTTGGGAAACCGAAGGCTACACAGTGCTTCCCACCATTATTCAGAGGCAAATGAAAAGAGCAAAGTGAGATCAACTGTGCCCCGACTGTCTGATTTTCGAAGCGGTTGGTTTCCGCAGAAAGCATTGCGACGACCACTTCTGCCACTAAACTGGCACCCACAGTGTTTTCTTTGCAAACGGCGGCTCGTGGATTTGACTTCAAGGATATGTGGGTGAGCGTGAGAGGATCTTCCGCATATAGCTTTCCGCGCGCCCCTTTCAGACCTGATCGGCCATGTGCTGTAAAGTTTGAAGAAACACGGGACACGGGACGAACTACCTGGAGTCTCCATGGCCCTTTAAAAATTGGTCCACGACCCCATTATTTAGGGCGACCCCATTTTTAAGGGTCATGGAGACTCTAGGTTTGTTTTGCGCATTGAGTTCGGGTGCCGTCCGTTCGGTCCATAGCCTCGGTTCTCTTGAGTCCTCGGCGCTCGTCCAAATGAGGCCCGGGCCCCTATTACTCATATCTACCTGCCCCTGACCGTAATATTGAACTATTAAAAGCATGCTTTCCCGGATAATTAAACATGTTTATTACTAGGGGGGCCCTTTCATTTCTTCGCGGGGAGTTGTTTGAGTAGCGAAATGGTTGAGACTCCTTCTTTCAATTGTTCACTGGGTCGAGTACTTCTTGCAAGCAGACTAAGCAGACAGACAGAGCTTGAACAAGGTCCCAGATGGAAAATGCAGACATGCAGGCAGCAACACGAAGCAAAGGCAGCGGAGTCAGCGTGCCGGCGCTTTCCTTTTCGCAAGCCCAAAAAGCTCCCCAAACGTATGCTTCTAGAAAAGAAGCCAAGTTACACCAGCCAGTTTAAGGGTTCTTTTGCTTTGGGCTTCAGAAGGAAAGGATTGAAGGACCTTCAATATGGCTCGAGGGGTCACGAGGGAAACCGCTAGCAGTGGCCCAGATTTGGCCTCTGCCAAATTGAGTATTCCAGGACCTGGATATGTTGGAGCCTCGGGAAGACGTTTTATTGGGGGGGCCATTACTAGAAAGCAGGGACCATTTGCAGCAATCTATGGTAGTAAGGGGGATGTCGTGGGTCACGCTCACCAAATTACTAGTACTAAATGGGTGTTCCCTTCCAAAGTGATGAACCCCCATATTCAGCCGAAGAACCACAATAAATCAAACCATCGACCCCAGAAGCCAAGCCACCAAACCCAACCACCGAAACTACCAAACCGCCGAATCCAAGTTAGTGGTGAGCCAACCCACCAGCTTCACGCCTACTTCCCCTCAACGGTAGGTGGCCAACAACTTGGCCGAACAGCAAGCCACCAAGAGCCCCCAGCCACCGAACCATGTGGCTCAACATGAAGCCATCAGGGCACCGCTGGATTTGGCGCTTGGTTCCATTCAGCGCGGCTCGAATTGCGGGCAGCCATTTTCTAAGACCCGCGCCCACGTCACTCGAGGAAAAAAAAGAAGCCTTTCTGAGGAAATGTGACCATGAAGAGCCCGAGCGCGTGCCCTCCGGGTCGACTCTGGCTCGATCCTCCTCGGGCGGCCGGTCTTCGGACTTGGCACACTTTTTGGGGCCCCATCTTAAGGGAACATCAAGTCTTTGGATGCGTCCCCGAGTTCGAGGCACATGTGTCAAGCTGGGGAGTTGGGCCCCCCTCAACAAAAAGGGGAACCAAGTGTGCAAAAGGCTCCAACTGCAATACAATTCGATGCGCCATTTCCGGGTTTAGGTTCATGGAGCCTGACAAGACCTTTCGTCCGCGTGACGAAAGGTTTTGGGTGGAATAGCACTGCGCCCCTTACATGAGTTGAGGAGACATCTTCTCGCAGAAGTCTTTTCTATTTATGTCCCAATTGGCCAAGAGGCATTTTGTTGTGAGACATTCCGGCTGGATTCGTCTGTGGCGTTTGTTTCCTGGCTTGGTTTGATCACACAACGGATCTTCCAGAAACGGGCCGCCTTCTGATGAGTCTTATTCGTGCCCTTCGCTACGAAAGATTCTAACTCTTCAAATCTTGATAGCTTGAACAATTAAAAATAAAAATCAGAGGTTCTTCCCCTGGTTCTTGGTTTGGATGTGTTTTGTTTTGTGGATTTCAGCGGTTCTTCCTGTTGTTGGTCCCTTTTTAGTATTCCTTCAGTACCTTGTCGAAATGCAACACAGGATCCGTACAGATTCGCCACATCCAATCCGTTTTCCAGATCCATGGTGTCTCCCTTGGTAATTCCACGCCACTAACAAATTCAACTTTCGAGGGATGCAGCGGTTGAAAAGCCCAGTTAAGGGCAGATTCTATGGGGTTCAGGTCTTCACATTATTTAAACTTGTTGGTTCTTGGGTACGTGTGCTTGCTTACTTGGGTCTTCGATTCGCGAAGTTGGTGACATTGTAACGGCAACGGTTCGACTATAACCCACACATGTTTTTTTTTTTTTTGATTTGACTTAACCTTGAATTTGGGTGGGTTGGCTAACCATATAACTTGGCAACGGACACAATGGGGATTTGGTGGTTTGGTTTGGTGTCTTAAACGTGGTTTCTTTAGTTGGTGCTTTGATTTACTGTGTCCCCAAGTGTGTTTAGTTGGACAAACCAAGATGTGTCTTTTGGTAGTTGGACCCGCCAAGATGGTAGTTGTTTCCCCAAGTATTTCCTCCCAGCACGAAAAGCAGAAAGGTTGGGTCCCCCAAGCAGAAAGGGCGACCCACTTTTAGAGTGGAATCCCTATATCTTAGACCCGGGCCAGGCCAGCCAACGGACCCCGTTCTCGCCGGAAGGAAGTGGTCCATCCCCGGCCCAAAAACGAGCCTTAGAACTGGGAACTCACTCCTTAAGGGCGGGTCATGATTTATTGCCTTCCATTTGCTTATGAATACGTTTTATCTTCCCCTGTTGGCTTTACAGGGAATCTATCACTGCTGTTCATGTTTTCCAGTGGGACTTAAGCAAAGGGAAGTGGCCATCGGTTTGAATGCCAATTTTTGAGCGCGTGAGGCCCAAGTTCCTTGGCAGAACCGGGCGAGGGATTTGTCACAAGGGCAACATGGCAAACCAAGAGGACACAGAAGAAGCCTCGTGGAGTTTTTGCTACAGTTGGGTGAAACTGGACGCCACAACTTCCCCATTTTGGTTTGATCCCCTTTACCTCTACTGCTAGTGGATCTTTAGACTTTCACTTTTTGGTTGCCCCTTTTCTGTCCTTTTCACCTGCAAAAAGTTCAACTTTTTGCTGGGGGATCTACAGTACCCAAGTCACTTCAAGGGAGTGGTGACGGAACGCGGCGAAGGCGGGTTTGTTTCATCCGGGATCGGGACCCGTTCTCGCAGCAGAGGTACTCCATCAAGGGCAAGTGGCCCCACATGGGCAGCAGCAAGAGCGCGACTACGCCAGGCGTCGTAGCGTCATAGTGACTTAGTGGGGCGCTGCCTTGCCTTCTTGTTTGCTTATCAGTTCTTTCTGGGTTGGTTGTCAGTTTGTTTGTTTGTCTGTCAGGCTTGTTTGTTTGTTTGTTTGGTTGCTCGGTCGGTTGGTTGTTTGTGTTTGTATGTGTCTTTTGTTTGTGTTTGTTTTCTGCATGTTTGACTGATTTATCTGTCTTTCTGTCTCGCATTCGTGTGTTTCTGTTTATGTGTCCGCCCGTCCGTCTGTTTGTTTGTCTGTTGTTGTTGTGTTGCCTTATTTTTGTTGGTTTTGTCTCGTGTCGTTGTTTCTTGGCTTATGTGTTTCTTTGTTTCTTGTGCGTTGTCAAGTTGTGTTTTGTGCTGTTTCTTTCATTGCTTGACTACATCAGGGTTCTTAGTGACGGGCCTCCATGCTTTATCTGGGATTTCTGTTGAACACGCCGTTGGCCCAAATCATCGCTGGCCAGTTGAGCAAAAGGGTTTCTCCTTGGTTCATTTTAGTGGTTGTTCAAAAAACGATGTACAGTTTCAGGCACCCAGTGGTGCCTTTTTGTCTTTGTTTCAAGAGGTCTATGCCTAAAAGAGCGCCTGTCTTCTGTTGGCCACCGGAGATGTGGGGAAACAAAAGTCATCAGTGATGCTGGAAGAGCCAGAAATTGGGTTTAGGGCCCGAAGTTCATTCAGCACTCAAGAGCATGGATTCATCGCACGGGCTTCAAACTCTTACCGCTCATGCCACACGTTGTCAGAGGTTGAGCGTTGGAAGGGGACACACAGCACCTTGACATAGATCAGATGCGCGTGGATCTCTTTTTCCCCGGTTTGAAGTGCACCTGTCTCAGCATTGGCAGGGGCCTTCTTGCCAGAAGTCAGCAAGGGTTGGTTCCGATGATAGCTATCCATCATGATGTCCCGAGGCAAGACACTCTTTTCCGAGTTTCGGCAATGTACTCAGTTGTTCAGTGGCACCCTTTTTCCCTTTTGTTTTGGTGGCTGCCCCACTAAAAATGGTCTTCCCCAAAAAAGGGTTCCCTTTTTTTCCCGGGGTCACTGAACAACAGAGTGTAGTCAGAATCGGCCGTTTGTCGAAGAGCCATGTGTGGCAAGAATACGACATGTTTTCACTGGAACCCCAAAGAGCCAGAAATCTGGATTCGCATGTTGGGCAATAAGGATTCGACCCCCTTGCTTCAGCGATTCCGGATGTGTTTTCAAAGCGAAGGGACGCCTTCGCGGTCCTGCCGAATCGCAACCCAGACAACTTCAAAAAGCGAGCATCCCGTGAGCAAACTCGTTCCATGTTCAACCTATTGGGTTGCATCACTCAAATGACAGGCTTGCTGTTGGAGCAAGTGGCGGAAAAAAGGTGCGCTTTGCTTTCTGGCCAAACGCTTGCCGCGCCGTCCTGCAGGGGTTCACATAGGTCCCGCTGTCACCAACTCTACATGCCATTCAGCCATGGACAGCCACGTGATCCACAGGTCTCATGGATTCTCACGTTTCCGCATGTTGGGCCCCTTTTTTTGGCTGGTTGAGGTTAAACGGCTCGCAGCCTAGATTTTGCGCCATGGATTTCAGCCAGATGGACTTCAGCCAGATGGACTTCAACCAGATGGCAGCCATGAAAGGCATGGGCGGCGGCATGGGCGGCGGCATGGGGGCTGGCATGGCTGGCGGCATGGGCGGCGGCATGGGGGCTGGCATGGCTGGCGGCATGGGTGCCGCAATGGGCGGTGGCATGGGCGGTGGGATGGGTGGCGGCATGGGTGGCGCTATGGGAGGCAAGGCCGGGGGTGGCTTGGCCTACAAGGGGATTGCCGAGCTTTGCTGCAAAGGAAATTCCATGTAGACTAAGTCCAGCAGGTGCCCTTTTTAACCCCTTTTTTGGGGGAGGGTTGCCCTACCAAAATAGACTACCTAAAAAAGTTGGTACCCTTATTCTAGCCTCTCTACTGGAGGACCTTGTAGAGTTTGGTTGGGAAGCCCTAGCTGATGGAGCCTTTGCTTTGCAGAGATGGGCAAACCGCAAAGATCGGCGCGGGGTGAGCGAGCTTGACTGAAGCTACAATGGCATGCGCAAGAAGCAAATCAATCCCTTATTGGGTGGTCCCCCGAACCAATGAGAATATGAGTGGGCCAAATAGTTTCTAGTAGTTTACTCTTTTCATCACTTGCTTTTGAAGTGCCCCACAACCCCTTTCTTTTTTCTGTAGCTCCCCTCATTTGGTCGTACTTGAATAGACAGACGGTCTTGAGTTCGGCAACCGGTCCCATCAGGATGGTCTTGTCGGAATTGAGATTGTTACCATTCAATATTTGTGCTAGGACCTTGCAGTCCAAATCGAAGGGCACCGACCTCTTTTGCAGGTCCCTGGGCTGTCTCAGCATATCTTAGATGAGACTGTTCCCTTAGAACCCAGGGATAGAGTATTTGTTTTATTCACTTTACGAGGCAGACAACCTATGCTTAACAAAGCAAGTCCATATCGGAGTCTACGATGCTCAGCCAACACAAAACACACAATATGATTCTGAGGCAGTTGTTTTTTTCCCAGCAAAACTAACAAAGTAATGCTCTCAAAATGCAACGGTGTTTACGCCTAGAAGTTTTACTGTGTTTACAAGTCCCCAGTCAAAGCAAAACAGGTAAGGGGTAACACTTGTGGACCTTGTTGACCTATGAAAAGTAAAATACATAAGCTGCCTGAATAGAAAACAAAAACAATGTTTTACTTTTGGGATGCTTGCCTTTCTTTTCATGGGACTGAAAGCTTTACTCTTTTATTTGCTTACCTTCCCCCTGTAGACGAGCGTGAAGTATTTGCACCCATGACAAGCAAGCAGCAAGACTGCCTGAAGTAAACACGCGTTACTTTTGGGAGTGTTACTTCTTGTTTTTGTTTTTTTACTTTTACTGGATAAAAGAAAAAGCTAACGCCCTGAAATCAAGCAAGGTTCACTTTTGGCAGTTGTCCTTTCTACTTCACGGCCGAAACGTGTTACTAGCACTTGTTTATTTGCAGAGTGCAAACGTCAATCAGCAAGACTCCCTGAAAAGTGAAGCAACAATTACTGCTGGGAGTTGTTCGTTTCACTTTTCATGGGCTAGGTCCCCCAGTAGTGCCCTGTTTAACCCCTTTTTTGAGGGAGGGTTCCCCTACTAAAATAGACTACAGAACAGCTGGTACCAACTTATTCTAACCTCTCTAGTGGAGGACTTCGTGGGGCCAGAAGTTCTACTTGTTTACTCTTTTCCTGGAGAAACGTAGAACTGTAAGACTGCCGTGAATAGAAAGAACACGCCATTGTTGCATGGTGTTTGTGATGTTTTCCAGAAACATACACGTTTCGCGCCGGGATTTTGCATTGTGTCGTGTGGATTTGTTCACTGGAATTTAACCATATCATTATTGCAGGCGTTTTGCAGTTTTGTGATTTATGCTTTCTCATTTGACTTGGTCTACGAAATGAAAAGCCCATGTTTTGGGAGGCAGGGTAGCATACATTATATATATACATATATATATATATGTATGTATACATATATGAATATATACGTGTGTATATATATATACATATGAATCTATGTATATACATACATATTTATCAGCCAAGGTAACAGCACTTGAAGACAATCTATCTAGGCAAATCAAAGCGCGACAGGGATCCCGGTTGCGAGCTTGAAGGTTTCTTGCTGAAGGTCCATGTATATTAATGGAACGTATCCCGAGTTATGTCCTTTCCTTCACCCAGATGAGGGTATGGCTTTTGTCGTCGGATACCCCTTTTGGAGTGATTTAGGAGAAGAAACTAATCTTGGCAGCTGCCAGCCGTGCCCTTTGGCTTTTAGACTTTTAGGGTTCAATGGAGGTGTCCATTTAGCCCGGCAAAAACTCAACTTTTAGCAGGCGATCTGAGGACAGCCCCAGGCATGAAGCAAACAATGAAAAGCTGAGGCCCGGATCCCAATATGATGGCCATGATGGCAATGAAAGGCTGGAACTCGCCGGGCTGCCGGTTTCGAACGAAGCCGAAAAAACAAAAACGAAGCCCAAGGACTACTCCCAGCTGCCCTCCCAGTTGCCCAGTTGCCCAGTGGGTTGCTTCCCTTTCTTCCTTTCATTGGGAAGGGTTCCTTTCATCCTTTTTTTTCCCATGGCCACTGGGCATCTGAGAAAAAAAGAATGGGAACCCCAGACTTGTAAACCCGGCTGACAAATAGGGAGAACCTGTCCCCTTTTTGTGGGGTCAGACCGCTTCAGGAAACGCGCCCATAGGATGGGCGAATCTAATACGGGGTCAACGTTATGATTTTGAATAGGGAACACCCTGTCTGGATACACATCCCCAGGATGTCCGGCAGAGGATCCAATGTCCTTGGGGATCCCTTGTTGTTGTTGGTGTCCTCAGAGTTCGCAACCCGAATTGCAGTTCGTGTGCACTTCCAGGATTGGACAAAGGAACATGAAAGGTCGAGAGTATGAACCCTATGAGTATTTATTTGAACCAGTTGTTGGGTACCATGAATTGTGGATGTCGCCTGGCACGTCAACATAGCCATGGCTGATTGTATTAGATATAATCAGCCTGTGAGTTCAAGCATTCAGGGTCTACCCCCCAATTGGTGCTTTGGATTGCCTTGGCTTTGGAATTGAACCCCTGACCCTGGCTGGCCCTGGCTCTTGTTGAGAGTTTTACTGGGAGCCCGCCCCGACAAAAATCCAAACCAGCGGGGGCTCCAAAGGGGAAACTGGTACCTTGGGCAAGCTACATGCCCTCCGCAACCGCGTCGACCCTGAAATTGGGCGCATTGGCGAAGCGCTTGCTTGGCATTTCATCCAAGTACAGATAGCCTGGATTCCTCTTGGAGGTATAGCCGTAGGTGATTTTCTACCTTGTGAAACAGTAAAACAAGTTGGGATAGAAAGAAAAATAGAACCCATGTTGGTAGAACAAAACGTCTCACCCATGGTGGTACCCTGGCCTCGTGAAATCGCTTCCTTCGTGGTGTTTTTTTCTGGTGGACACCGGACACCATTTTTTTTCCGGATCTACCAATCGGAGTTCTGGTTAAGGACATGGGAGTGATTTCGCGGTTTATAAGGTTGATACAATTTGGGCGCACCTACCACTTGAAACAGGTCCAAGACAAGCTTGTTGGATCGCACCTGATGGTTTGGGTTGGCTTGCTGCCTGTTTGTTTGTTTGGTTTCGCTGCTATTATTCTCGGGTAACTTCCATGTCCATTCTTTCCCAGGGATTCTAGAAAGCCACCAACCGCCCTGGGGAAATGGCTGGTTTTTGAAAAGGACGATGGCCGAAAAGAATGGGGACTCGACCAATAGAATTATTGAACCTTGCACTTTCGGGGAACTAAGGTGCATTTCCTGGCCAGTAGTGAAACTTTGTGAGCAACTGCCACCGAGTTGGGCTGGGCGCACGCTGAGAGCAGCCTCATTCGGCGAGAGTGAGTTCTCAAAACGTTTGACCAGGATACAGCTGTGGTTGGTTGGCTTGATCAAAGGAATGCCGGTTTGGGAATCCTTGCAAACCGGCCGTCTCTGTTTGATTTCCCCTTCTTTCTAGAAAACCACCAAAAACCTTGGGGAAATGGCTGGCTTTTGTAAAAGAACGATGGCTGAGAAGAATGGGGAATCAAACACTAGAAAAGGATATGTAGGAAGCAACTTGTTTTTCCAGAACTACAAAAGCTGAGACCATAAGTGTCCTCTTTGGTTGTGCTAGAAAATCGATGGCGGTTCCTTGCTGACCTGGTTGTTTTATAAATACGGGCTATTCAAGTTTTCCCGAATTGTGCTCAGGGAAGAGCAACCCTTGGGTGGACGCTGCCATGTCTAGTTCTCCCAAGTGTTGGAACGTGCAAACCCCATATCCACTCGCGAGGCCGCATTGTTTGGAGATGGATTGCCTTGCAGCGCAAGGTTGTTTCTCTTTTCTTTGATAGGTCCCCCCCAAAAAATGTGAGATTTCAACCAACCAGAAAGGTATGGAACTAGTTGAAGTCTTCCGGCATTGAAAGGAAGTTCTGGGAAGCCAGTTGGCATGGAAGAGCTTCTTGGAGCCGCTCAGAGCGGCCTCAGTCTGAGCTGCGCTGAGCTGCGCGCCTATGAGCGCTCGCTTATCCATCCCGAGATCTTCATTGGAACCATCAATTACTAGGTCCCCCAGGATCGTGCCCTCTTACCATTTTTTTTAGGGGAGATTCGGTTCCTCTACTAAAATAGACTACAGAAAAAAGTTGGTACCAACTTATTCACACCTCTCTACTGGAGGACCTAGATTATGATGATGGTGGCTTCATCTGGATCGCTTCATGTGGGATCTCCGGACGGTCATTGCACGATTTGGTGCCGGAGGTATCCGCCCCCTGGCTGGGTTCAACTTTGATGGTGAAGTAGTAAGGGGGGCCAGTTGAAAGACCCCAGCGGCATGCTCGGCTTTTTGCAGGCGGCAAGGGGCCGGGCGAGGCAAGCGGATGGGAAATCGGGTCGCTGGGAACTTGTGTGTGGGAATATCAGCTCAAAGCCGAGTTGGAATATATCGGTCTTGGCGTGGGGCATCCCATGGCGGTTAAGCGAAAAATGGCCAGCTCAAAGTGTTGAGCTTTAGGTCACTAGTTTGACTTGCGCAGAACATAACTAGGTCCCCCAATGCCCTTGTTCCCTTTTTGTTGGGGGGAGGGTTCCCCTACTAAAATAGACTACAGGAAAAACTCGGGAACCAAGAGGACCTAGATAACACCCATGTCCGCAAGATGGTTCCTTTGTCGCTGTCCTTGGGGCTCCTCCCATTTCACCTGCAATCGTTCATCCTTGCAGGCCTCAACCTGAGCAAATCGTTGTTTTCTTCCGGGGATGACATTTAGTGAGGTTGGCCCCGGCCCCCCAAAAATGTGATTTGTTGTTTGTGGTTTCACTTCGAACCGCAAAAAATATGGTACCCTCAAAATCAGACACACCCATATCTTCATCAGATGGAATCAGATTGGTGAATTCCAAAGTACCATGAGCGGATTGGGTGCACATTTCACCCCTTCAACGCGAATGCTTGTTCGTTGTACCTGGCTAGATAGATATGATACGTACATATATATATATACATTATATATATATATATATGGTCACCCCCCCCCCCCCAAGATCTACCTCAGGTTTAAAAACACTGTAAATACCAGATCTTGGGGAGGGGGTGAGCATATATATATATATACGTGTAGGTGTCTGCACCATGGGTCTTTAGGGGATTTTTTTGTTCAAGGGCTTCAGAGATGCAGTGGGTTCCGGGCACTGAGCTGCAATGGACCGGTTGGGCCTTCTGCTTCTTGAAAACCCGGCTCTGGCCTTGTTTCTGCTTCACCCCCTCTTGGCCAACCAATTGTGTCTCATCTCAGTTTCGATTGAGCCGCAGTCCGTTTTTTGTTTTTCTCCTTTTTGTTTTGTTTTTTCGATGTAGCAAAATCGGCAGAAGCACAAAGGGAAGAAGGCCTTTTTTTTGTTCACAAGCCCACGGGACAGCATGAGTTTTCTCTTAAGTACAGGCAGCAAGAAGTAACATCTGCAACCTTTTAACCAGGGCTCGCCGCCATCCAGCGCTCTTTTTTCCACAGGGTTGTGGGATGAAGGGGTTTATCCCCACTTCTGTGATACAAGAGAGTCCCTTCTTTATATGAGGGGTTAGTCTTTGGGAGACCCTTTTTGTTGTATCACAGAGGTGGTCATTTCCCACGGCCCTGTTTTTCCATGATCTTCGCAATTTTTAGCAGTGTTGTCGAGTCGCAGACATGTCTGGATGAGTTCGACAACATGCAGTGTCGGTTAGACGGCATTTTCAAGTCTCCACGAACAATCCAACAAGTTGTCGACCCAACAAGAAAAAGTTGTTGACCGTGAGCCTACACACTCCCCATCCTCAACTATAGACTGTTTGCGGATAACGTAGGGTTCCAAATACTTCCAGGTTGCTCTCTTAACATGACGAAATTTGGGTTTCACGTGCCCCACCGACCCATTCTAACTGGTCAACCCTGTAAGTGTCTCCCAGTAGGGTATGGGTCAAAATTAAACCACCAGGGCACCACACGTTTTAGTGCATGCTTCCATTTACAAGGGTTCCATTTTGGGTACCTATTTTTGACCCACAGCCAGTCAAATCGAGTCTCATCCATCTCAGTTGGTGCCAAGCCGGTTTTGTCCATCAGAGAGCTTGCGCCAGGGTCCTCCCGCGATGAAGGCGCGCAAGCGGAAGTTGCAGTGGCCAGAGTGATGGACCCCCATGATGTCTCAGACACCCGGTGGCGTTTTTTTGTTTCTCCTTTTTTTCCCAGTGTTTTTGGGTGTTTGGCCCTACTTTCACACTGCGACCAGGTACGTCAATCTCCGTTCTATGGCTGTGGATGGCACAATCGTGCTGGGTGATTGCATCCCCCAGCCAGACAACCTTACCAGAGTCCGCACGGTTCACTTCCCGACGGCGATGTCTCGCGTTGATTTAGAAGCTAAGTAGGAAGTCCTTTCCGAGTATAGGATATTGGTAAAGTTAATTGCAGTGTAGTTCGATATTGAATGTCTACTTTGATCTCGACTTTAAGTACGAGTTCCTTTCCAAATGTTTTTAGTTAAAAGACAATTGCAATTCCCCACATAGGTTTTAGCATCTTGACTGCAAACGATGCTGCAAAGGTAGTTCATGGGGGGGGTGAGCAGATATGTATATATATATTTAAATAGTGGCGTGCCGTTTTCTTGGGGAGGGGGTAACCTTTTGGTTGGTTTCAAAGGGATGCCAAAATGAACCAGCCATTGTTAGGAGCCCCTATTTTGAAACAATCTCATGTATATATATATATATACATACATGAATACATACATATGTGTTCCTTGCTTCTGTTCCACATCTACTCTTGGTCGGTATTGTGATGTTCAAACGAAAGCAACTGTTCAACACGTTGCAGTCCTTTTTACACACCCACACGTGTACCCTCAAAAGCGAGGCTTGTCATGAGTTCCCCTTGTCTTCCATTTACTTAAGAATATGTTTTATTTCCGCTGTTGCTTTTAAAGGGAATCGATCAATCACTACAGGGAATATATGCTTTAGCGGGACTTAAGTAAATGGAAGTTGTGGATGGGTGTTTCATCACCTTTTTGAGGCCATGTTAAAAGTAAGTTTCATCTTGATACTATGTGTAAAGGGGGACATACGGCTAAGCCCATTATTTTGACTGTTTTTGTTGGATTGTCAAAGTCAGCAACCGGAGGTGGTGACTTCAACTTTTTGCCTGCAAGGGCGCCACCGCGATCGATCGGGCCTCGATGCCAGGGCAAGGGCATGATGCCAGGCGCGAGGGTCCAGGTGTTGCACCGCCATGGCTGAATGGGATATGGCTAAGGGTAATGCTGACGGATCAGGACCCCGCTGGTCAGAGAAAGCCGGCTAAACCATGCTAAACCCAGGCTGGCACGCCCCAACAAAAATCAACCAGGGGTTGCTTCATCCGGGGACATTGTGGAAACCATCGAATGAATGTTCTCGGCAGCGCGGAACGAATTGAAACAATATCGGACAATGGTTTGTGTCATAGGTGGATCTGCCAAAATGGCTTAAGTTTCCATTTACTTTGCCTTCAAACTATGTTAACTTCGGATTATTCCGGCGGAAGGTACTCATCAGGGGTGGTTCCCCCTTTTAGCAGGGACATCGTCCATTTTGGATCACTTTTGGAGGGGGCACACCCCGAATAAACTGGGGTTGATGAATCTGGGGAAGCTAAGTGTCATGGAATGAATCCTGGGGGGTTAGCTTCCAGAATTGAGGATGCCAATCAAACCTTGTCCATCACGTCCGCAGTCCAAAAACACCTGGAGCTTAGCTTACCCTTGGATCAGAACTCCGATCAGGTTCCGAATCCGCAAATGGGTATGGGTCAAAATTCAGCCAGCACAAAACCCGCAGGTGTTGGTCCATGTTTCCAGTTACCAGGGATCCATTTGGATTTTTGACCCACTGCCAAATCCTCTTGGGCGATTTTGTCAGGTACCCCTGGCACAAAGTTTTTCAAAAAGTTCAAACCCCAGTGGATTCCAGACAAAGTTCCATAGTAGGTGACCAAGCGATCTTCCTCTTGGTTGCACGCCCTTGGTGTATAGGGAAATGGAATCACTGGGAAAGGCGATCAGCTTCCAAATCCAACTTGCAGTCTGGATGGATGGCTTTTCAGTTGTTCAGTGGCACCCTTTTTCCCCTTTTTTTTGGGGTGGCTGCCCCACTAAAAATGGTCCTCCTGCCCCAAAAAGGGTTCCCTTTTTTTCCCGGGGTCACTGAACAACTGAGGTTTGGACAAGAAAGTGTTCCGGTGGGTTTGGACTGCCCTTGGCGCAGGCAAGGGCATGGGCAAGATGGACGGCAAGGCGCTTTCGGGCCCAGGGAAAGCGCTCGACCACTTCTCTTTGGTGCATTTTGCCAAGGGATGTTAGGACTGAATAACTTTTTGCCAACGAATTTGGGTTTTCCGTATTAAACCACTAAAAGTTAGTCACTTTTAGCAGGGCTTCGCAGATCTTGCAACCGAGTTATAGGGCCATGTTGGTGATGGTGGGGATGATGATGGTGATGATGATGGTGATAGTGATGATGGTGATGGTGATGATGGTGATGGTGATGGTGATGGTGATGGTGATGGTGATGGTCATGGTGATGGTCATGGTCATGGTCATGGTCATGGTGATGATGATGGTGGTGATGATGATGGTGATGATGATGGTGATGGTGATGGTGATGATGGTGATGGTGATGATGGTGATGGTGATGGTGATGGTGATGGTGATGGTGATGGTGATGGTGATGGTGATGGTCATGGTGGTGGTGGTGATGGTGATGGTGATGGTGATGGTGATGGTGAGGGTGATGGTGATGGTGATGGTGATGGTGGGTATGAAACTGCCTCCATGCCTCTGAGCACCATGACTGAACATGCCCTTCATGGGTGGTTCCCAGGCATACGAAACGCGGCTCTCTCCTAGACGTAGAAACCTTTGAGTGCGAAACGATTCGACTGGCCCCGGCATGCCGGAACTATAGCCAGCTCTATCCCATGGCGAGTGAAATGTCACCATGAACACGCGGACTGTGACCATGACAATGTTTGTTTCTCTTGTTTCTTGCGGCGTTCTCAGCAGCTACACCAGGTTCCTTGCTCGCCTTTGCACGCATAGCCACAGCCACTCATCCAGCGAACACAAGTTTGGTTGTAGAATCCCGCCACCACACGTTTACGGTTGAATCTTTTTGAACATCAGTTGACTTGGAGGAAAGCCGAGAACAGTCATTGAGTCATTGCTCGGGAAATGTGGTGGTCAACATCCATGGGGTGGTTCACCTGATGGTTGTGCCACCGAAATCAATAAACCGCCGGGTGTTCTGCTTCCTTCGCCTGACGCGACTTTGTTGGGAATATCGGTGTTTAAGTATATATAACGTTATCAAGCATGGTCGTCATTTTGATTTAGATGTTTGTGTCTCCGCATTCGGCTATTCGGGTTAGTGGGACAAAGGAAACCGACCTTTCTTGGTGGTTCCCAGCCGGTTTCTTAGGTTTTAGCTTTTTAGTTGATTTAGCCCACAATAGAAAAGCGTTCGAATTTGAGCAGATCTGGGACAGCCCAATTTTGTTGGCCTTTCAAAAAGACGACGCTCATCTGGGTTCCATGTTCTTCTAAGATGTTTCGGCTGGATTCTGACATCGGGACTCGAGACTTTCGGGTGGTTTGCTTCGCCTCCCGGAAATTGACCATTTGGGGAATGTGTTTTCCTTTTGGTTCCCCCTTACCTCTGAAAAAGGGCTACCCTCAAAAACCGACATGCGATCAGTTGTCTCTTTTTAGTTCTCCAAGTCAGAAACTAGGCTGGTTTTTCCCTTTCACCATCCACCGAACGTGGATGACTTTGATCATTGTGCAAAAACCGGGGCCAGTGGGTGACTCCCTGAAATTGATATAGCATGCGCACCTGTGCCAGGGCGAGATGATGAAAGGGATGATGATGGCCATGATGATGCGACCGCCTGAGAGCGAGCTGTCAGATCGGTATCGGTCAGCCGGCCAGCTTTGAATCAGGCTGCAACATCTGAAGGCCTCCAGTGGTAGCCGGTCTTCTTTCTCTCTCTCTCTTTTTGGAGAAGAAGCCTTGTAACATCAACTACCAGGAAAAGTACCCGGTGTTCCTTCTTTTTTGAAGAATAGGCCTTGTAACATGAAACTACCAGAAAAGACACCTCCAATTGGGGGCGGGATCTTGAGCAATGTGGCGGAACTACCAAGATTTAAAAGGTTCCCTCAATGGCCACTGGTCTGGGAAGGGTTCTACATGTTTCGTTCAGCATCTCAAGACGAGGACGAAGCGGAGGTTGCTTTGAACAGACGCCCAACCTCTTTTGGTGGTTTCACAGGCGAGTTTCCCTTGGTAGGGGGTGTGTTCCAAGGGAATACATACAAATATACATATATAGAAAATGGGAATGATATACAATATGTATACAGACAGGAACCCTACTCAACAGTTCGGCGAGTGCCGGGCTCTTGGTTTTGCTTCCAAACGAGGGGGGCACACGTAACTCAACCAGTAAACAAACCATTCGAGGAGTCTCATTTTTTAGGGTACCCTCAAAGTGGGGCGCCACAAACATGGTTCTGCCAATCCTTCTCTTTGGACGTCCAAAAGGGGTCCAGGAACCTCCGGTTTAGAAGTTCGATGGATTTCGATGGGTTTTGCATTGTCAACTTGTTTTGTTCCATTCGCTGTTCTTGGCACGATGTTTGATCTTTTTGTTATTGGCTTGGTCAGTTTTAGTGGAAGGCTGAACAGAATACCGCTTTTTGCTCACATGCCAAGCATTGAATAGGGGGTTCCACTGATTTGTAGGGTCCACTCTTTCAGGGGGTTCCACTCTTTCAGGGGGTTCCGCATCAATCCGAAGTCTGCATAAATGGCACAAGGTCTGTTTCCGCCGCAAGGTTTTGGACATCTCTTCAGCCTGTGGAGTTGCGCGCAATCTATTTACATGCATCGGCAGGGCACCGGGGCTCAGTTGGCCTTGGCCCCACGTAGCTGCTCCATGCGCCAAACATTCAGGTGTTTGTGTGTGCTTTTTGGAGGGTAGACTGTTCAGCTTGGCTTAGCGGGCAACCAACAGGACAACCACCAGTTTGAGGGCAACTCGGATTTTTACACATCCTCGCAGGCCTCCCGTGGCGTCTGCTTTTCTCCCCTGAATGTGTCTACATTCTGGAGGTCTGGAAGCAGTTGGTATGAGGCTTTGGTCTGCGTTGAAAGAGTTCCAAAGATCGGTACGTCTGCACATGTCTGCACAAATTCGTTCGTCAGCTCACCCCGAAGGAGGGGTGTTTTACGTGTGATACTGGCCCTGTAGTACTTCCGGGTTGGTAAGGTACTGCGATTGTAAACGCTTGGCGAGGCCTGCCTCCAGGGCCTGTTTGATTTAGAGGCCTCCTTTGATTTCCGTTCTTACTCCAAGGGCGATGCGGGGGGAAGCTGGGGCCGCTGGCAAGAAGCCACATTCATTATTCCCATGCGTGAAGCGTCAGCTGCGCGAAAGTATCCGCTTGGCACTAGAGGGCAGCCACAGAAGGGCAGCTAGGTGACCTGCCAAGGGCCACGGCTCGCGCATTCTGGGCGCAAGGAGCTTGGACTGAGGGCAAGGAGCTAGGGGCTGTAGCCCCTGGCGCAGCGCAAGACTAGGGACTGGCTTGGGAAGATCACGACCTAAAGAGGTAAAGAGGGTCTCACCGCTTCAAGCCTTGAGGGGCCAACCATCGAGGTTGTTGTTTAAGGGTACCCAGGGGGATGCCAATGCGATCTCCCAACCAAAAAGGGTCAGCGGAGCACCATGCTCGAGGCGGCTCGAATTATTCCAGTTGGTTGTCCTTGCCTGCGGGTGGCAATAACTTGTGAGCTTCCTCTTGGCGAGTGATGTGTGCGGGGAACATCTGCCGCTTGGGATTTGTGTTTTATCAACCATTTTTTCACATCGGCCCCGTGTGCTCTGGACCTGTGCGCAACCATCGACAGGAAAGATCCTGCAGAAGAGTGTGTGCGTGTGTGTTTTTTGAGGGTACCCTTCGAAATGTTTGTTTAAGGGGAAGGGGACCCCCAGATTGGCTCCGGTTTTCCTTTTCTTCAAAGCGAAAAAACGGGGTGCCCCGCGCCCGCCCTGCCCAAACAAAACAGATTAAAAAGACACGCCCCAATGCGGCCGGCAATCCGAGGAAGGGCAAGGGAAAGTCCATGATGAGACCGGCCAAGGGCAAGGGCAAGGCCAGGAGAGGTTAACATGCCGAGCATGGATGAAAGCTGCGTCGCACCGGTTGGGATGGATAAACCTCCTTTGAATATTGGTTGGTAAACCACAGCAACTGGTGCGAAGTGGATATTGTCCATCCACAGTAAGGGGAACCCGGCGGCTTTCCCTGTGGACCCCTTAATTAACCAACACAACTGGTCAGGGATCATGGAACCCAGTCGCCCAGCGCCGCCCTGCAATATCTTCCCCCAATTAATGAATTCGGCAAATTAAGACGTAAGTTTTTTTCCAAATCGCATGGCCCCGAATACTACATTTAAAGTTTGCCAAGTCTAAACCAATACTCAGCTGTCGGATTTCTTGCCCAGACCAAACCTAGCCATTTTAGCGGGGATTCCAGCACATTGTGTTAATGTATTTCTTAATTTTAATTGCGCCTTATATTTTTTAACCGCAAGAACAAAGAGAACAACCCTGTACGGTGTTTATTTAAACTCGTTACGGAAAGTTGTGATTTGACGGCCGGGGCAAAGGGGGGTAGCATTGGGACGAGGACCGAGGGGGAAATCCGGTCGAGCCCTAATTACCCTATTCATGAGTATTCTTCGGGGTGAATATCGCTTCCCCTCTACCCAGAACACACACACACACACACATAGGGGGGCGCATAATTATTCGTAGGAAAAGGGAGAGTGGATTGGTCCATTTGGGATGGGGACCAGCCCCAAATTTCCCATCACAACGTTGGACAGCTGTTAAGAAACAGTATGGAGACCTTGATGACGACAAGCCGAAAGTCGTGGTGGAGACCCGCAAAAGGATTGGCCAGTGAATTTGACCTTGAATGTTCTTGCCAGAATCAGCTGGCTTTCCGGCGTTGGGTTTCCTGCGCTGCTTGGCAGTAAATTTTAAGAGTCGGAACCACCTCAACAGTGGTGGGTGGACAATCCCCACTTTTGTCTGACGTCCACCACAGGGTTTCTAGTGCCCAGGTTTGTCAAGAGTGGTTCCGTTGCTCGCCTAGTTTTTTAGCGCGGGGCTTTCTGAAGGCCAAATTGGCCACCGGTTCAAAATATGCTTGTGCAGCCAGCAATACCAGGGCCCAAGGAATTTTACAATTCCCTCCTATAATCAGGAATAGTTGGTTTAAACGTAGCCCACAATCCCATTCCAACAAGATCAATCTTCTTGGCACATTTGGCGGGGAAAAGGTCTGAAGTGCAGCCTTGTCGGGATCCGTTGGCTCTGGCAGCAACAGATGGTTACGATACATGGGTGGCTCGGAACCCCTTTTTGGTTGGTTTTACAGGCAAACCGTAAGTCGAAACACCAGTTTGGAGGGTCCAACCAAAAAATAACACCCACATCAGCCACGAAGGGGGGTTTGTTGTTTTTGGAACTTTGAGATGCGTTAGCCCCCCTGCTTTGCTCCGAACCCATCCAGGATTTATTTTTTCCGGGAGCGTCGCTCCTGTAAAATCAGCTGTTTTTGTCATCCAAGTCAAATTCATTGGTTTGAGATTGGTTCCTTGGGTTCCAGTTTCACGATGGGTTTCAGTCTGCTTTCACGTTGGTCCCGGAATGTTCTTTGCGCACCAAAACGGCCACCAGCCATTTGTGCGGTTTGCCTGGCGCGGCAAACTCTCTATTGATCTATCACTTGACAGCAGCTACCCGCAGCTGCTGGTTGGTTTGCCTATCTTTTCACTGGAGCATCCTTGACTTCCCTCCTTTGGGCGGGGCTCAAGAAGTAGGAGCCCAAAATGAAGCCGTGGTAAATGGAACAGTAGACAAAACCTGCCTCCTGGATCTTAAACTTTGAGCCGCACCCAGGTCTCTCTCCTCGTGTTTTTTTGTTCTCCTTTTTTTGTTTTTTGTTTTTTTCTCTCTCTCTCTCTCTCGCTCTGCAAGGCCTCCCCATCACCCAAAGCGAATTGACTTGCAATTCTAGGGCTACCTTCCCCATTCTTTCCAGTGATCCTTCTTTTCAGGAAACCATCAAACACCCAGAAAAGCAGCCAGTGATTGAAAAGAACAATGGTTGGCAAGAATGGAAAAGGCATCAACCCCTAGAGCAATGACCTCTTGGGTTTCCTCATGTTGGAACCACTTCTAGTGGCAACAGGTGACCACCTTTTTCTGGGGTTCAAATCGGGCAAGTGAGACCCCGTGGTTCCCAGTTACCAACTTTGCTAACCCCGGATTAAGCGGAACCCCTGGTTGATTTTGATCGGGGGGTGAATCCCCCTTTTAGTGTGGATTCAGACCACTTTTGGAGGGAACACCCCCCTAATAATGGGACGGGTTCTACTTAGATCCTGGGTCAACATTAGTAGGCAACAATTATCTTGGTTTTTTTAACGCTGGTTCAATGGAGTCACTAGGAGAGATGATCAGCTTCCTTCCCATTGGTCGTTTGGATCGCTGGTTTGGAAGTTTGGCTTGGTTTCCCATCTACCATCCAAGAATGACAAGGGCTTCAGATCCCCCAAACCACCAAACGACAAAGCACCAACTTGATCAACTCTTACGGTGCTTGCATTTGTTTGTAAAGCAAACAAGTCAAGGGATCCACCCACCAACTTCAAGGGTTACCCGAAACCAGCAAAATTCCCGAAACCACCAAAATCCCCGAAACCCCCAAAATCCAAAGCACCAACAAGCGAAGGTTACCTGAAGCCAGAGGTTCGTTCTCTCGCTCTCGCTCTTCACGCAGGTCTCCAACAAGATCGCCATGGGTGAGCCCGCCTTCGTGGGGCGCGTCAGGCAGCGACGGGGAAGCGACGAAAAATTGGGTCGCCTTCCTAGGTCCGGCAATTGGTGCCCTTCTCTACCGTTTCTTTTTCGGTTGGGGGTCCCCTAAAAGAAAGAGAACAGAAAAAAGATCGGGCGCCAACTTATTCTATCCTCTCAAATCTGGATGTAGTGATGTTGAGGAGTAGAGGGTGCTTTCTTGAGCTCATTTTGCATTGGCTTGGGAGTGCTTTCCATTGAGTTGTCCAGTCAGCCTTCTTGATAACAAGGCTCCTGCAGAGGAAACACTAGGAATATAGCAAGAGAAACTAAAGGAGTCGCAAGAGAACACCTAGAGGAATTGAGATAAAACGATGTAGCAAGACAACACCAAAGGAGTACTGAGCAATACTTGGGGAATACTAGGAGAATCCTCTTCTGTAGCAGTGCTTGAGACTCTGCTGATGTCTCAAGCTCTGCCGCATGCCCGACGGCCGAGACCGGCTCTCTGCTTGCATGTTCCAGAGCGACCGGCTCCCGTTGTTCGGAGCTCCACCGCCCCGCCGCCCGCGGCCGCTACGGAAGGCAATCCGCGTTTTGCCGGCGCTGCCTCCTTTTTTTTCCTACGGCCAGGGCACAGGGCACGAAGACTGTGACGGGATACGAGAATCAATGCGCAACTGACGTGGCTGCTCAAATGAATCGTCCAGGTTGCCCTCCCCCAGGTGATGGTATGGCTGGTGGTCTTTCGAATGGAGTTGACGGGGGATGTGCGAAGCACCTTGCGACAGGTTGGTTTGTTGTTTTGGCAAGACCCTTTCACGTGTGTTAAGGACAATAACAGTTTGGGAGCCGTGACCATGACTGCATTAAATTTGACAATCGCACAAATGGCTTCGTCTCCACATAGGGGGACCAGTGGTTGTTTTTGAGTTTCCCATGAAGAACAAAGTAGGGTGTTACAAGGGTCTAAATCATTAGAATGGGCGTTTCGTTATCAGAGGACAACGTGGGTAATCATTTAGCGCTTAATGTTGCCCACCCATAAAGGCTTCCGCATATGGGTGTGCTTTTGTCAATGGAACATGAAAGGGAACACCATTTCCAGGTATGTGTGTTGTAGGTATGGCTGCCTACACCAATTTTCAGCTTGTCACACAAGCATGTGCGTTGTATTTTCTCACCACCGTACCTCCAAAACCCACACCTAGAAATGCCCATCCCTCAGGGTCCGATCGATGAATTCCTGGACCCTGAGGGTTGAACCATCGCCCCCATATTTTTTTGGAATTGGCGGGGGGATTTCGACCCCTCTCCGTTGGCCACCCATCCAACTTTCCGGTAGCTCAACGGAATTGGCCCAGGTCCAGCATGTTTTCCCCCAACTCTCTGTGGTTGGTAGATCAGCCGCATTTGCCACCAGGTTTTGTGGGATGAGTTGTCTTTCTTTCCCAAAGCTTGTTTCAAGTTGAGCTCCTGCTTTGGTTGAACCTAAGCCCCCTTGATAAGGGGATTGGGGGTTGACTTTGTGCTTTTTGGAAAGGCTTCTTATAAGCCTCCTTATAAGCTGCCTTGCGCACCTCCTCATGAAGCTTCTTACAAGCTTCTTTATATGCCTCCTTATAAAAAGCTCCTTACAAGCCGCCCGTTGCAAGGCGCAGGAAGCTTTCGTCCCAGAAACAAGCTTCTGTCCTGGAGGCTCCACGTCTGCGCCTGTGTCGCCCCGTATAAGCTTCCTTTCAGCCTCAGACAAGCATCCTGGCAAGCTTGCTTAAGCTTTACTGGGTGGCTTCTTGGGCTGTGAAAAAAGTATCAACGGAATTGGGCCAGCTTTTGTTTATTTGCCACCACCAGGTTTTCTTGGGATGAGTTGTCTTTTTTGCCCAGAACTTTATGGTGTGAATAGCTCAACGGAATTGGCCACCAGCCCCCCGTGAGGGAGTTTTGGCTTCTCCGTTCCGTCGCGGAGCGCGGAGCGCCAGGCTCTACGACCAGGAGAAGAGCCGCGGCCTGATCTCCTGCCCCGAGTGTTGGGCCATCAGCGGCCAGGACAGAAACGGTCCGAAACGGTCGACACGGCTTCGGCTTGGAACCAGGAGGCCTCTCCTCAGCTTCCATTGGCTTAAATAATGTGTGTGTGTGTGTGTGTGTGTGTGTTTTGTTAATGCTATAATCAGTTTCCATTGGGTTAAATATCTGTTGTTACCCTCCCACCAGCTAACATGGGCTGGTGCACAGACCCCTGTAGAAAGACGACTTTCCTCTTGCAAAGGGCCTTATTGCACTTCCGTGTTTGTTGGTGGGAGGGCATTTTGCCCCGGTGGTGTTAAAGGGAATCTTGCAAAATTGAACATATTCTTCTTTTCTCCAGGGGGGCTCCACCAGCAAATGGAAGTCAAGGTCATCCAGCGCCCTCCAAGGCTGGCTTCTGTTTCCCAAAATGGCTCAGCACTGGCTGGCCACCTGGCCAGGCCAAAACAGCCACAAGGAACCTTCTGCTGCAGCTTTCTGCTGCAGCTTTTCTGACTCCCTGGCCCGGGCGATTTCACCTTCAAGGGCTTCCCTGAAATTGATGAATGAATCGGCTTGGGTTGGTCTTCCACGCCCAACTCCATCACAAAGGGAGGCGGACGTTATGGACGTCTGTTTTGGACCACTCAGCCGCTGGTTTGCTTAAGTTTGCTTCTATCGCGGGTTGGGGCGTTGCTGTGCGGACGCCATGGGCTCCAACCTGCACACAAAGCACAGGAACGTCCTTTCCAACTGCCCCTGCTCAAATCGAGCAGGCAGGGAGGCCCTTCCGGCGTCGGAATTCTTGGGCAGAATCGATCATCGCTGGTTCACACAACTTTGACGGGTCCAGTCCCTCTTGCGCAACCTTCGCAGAGATAGTCCAGACCCCAGTGCCATCGAGTGCCGTCTCCTCACGGAAGTACGGAAGTGATCAAGAAAGCCAAGAGTCCAGGGAGGCTTCAGCAATTGGTGGACCTCATGTCCCATACCAACTGATGCGGCTTCCCCATTGCACTACCTTACAACCCTGTCTACACCGAATTCCACGCCAATTAAAAGGTCTGGATGCCCAGATGTGCCGCAACTCGAAAAAGCGGGAGCCTGGAATGTCTTCGAAAGCCTTGCAAATACCACAACCAACCAGAGATGTGTGTTGTTGTAGCGCGCGTTCCACCAGAGCTTGGGCCGCGTGCCACAGGTCCCCGGCCTCGCGGTGTAGTAGAAAGCCTCAAGTTGTCTCGCGCAAAGCGCCCCCCAGCTTCTGTAAATCATCGGGAAGATGACAATCAAGAAGAAGGAGAATCTGGTGCTTGAGGGCGTCCGGCATTGAGCGGAGGTCAAGATGATCAAGACCATCTGGCCCAAGCTGCGCAACTTTTGTAGCGCTTGTTGATCTGGTCCCATGCCGGGATCGAAAGCTCTGCGACCGTGAAAAGAGGGACATGAGCGTGCGCAAAGGCCATGATGCTTGCCAGATTGATGTCCGCTGGTGGGTCGGTCAAGATGCGCTCTTGTGAAAGCTGCTGGCTCGGGCATAAGATCCGAATCTCGTAGGTAGGGGTCATAGGTGAAGGGCTCACCGCGGGTTTTCTCAGTCGATGCATTGATTGGTTATGGGACGTCTGCCAGTCCGTCTTCACCTCTCGCACCATCGCCCAGTCCTATGTGGACAACGCCGAGCTCATTGGCAAGGAGGTTGGCCTCATCATCAGTGGGCCAGTGGGGATGAGTACTTCAATTTTTGGTCGCCCAGCCTCGGCAAGGAGAAGACCTACTTCTGGGCCTTGGCGCCCGCAGGCCATGTTTTATCGTACTAGGGCCCAAGGAGCACGACTTGATGCTCCTGACGCCGTGTGCCTCCAGAGATCCTGCGCACCGGCAAGGCACAAGCGCCTCATCCTTGTGCAAGCATTTTGGGCCAAGGCCTTCCACGTCATTAACATCACGCTTCTTTCACGGCAGGTCTAGGCCTCCTTTGCGGCGATGTGACAGTAGATCCGGGCGGGTACCAGCTGATTCACGTCTTTTTAGGACTTCAAGCGCTTCCTCGCTCTGGTTCAGCTTCATCCAGCATTAGTTGATTGAGCAGAGCGACCTTATCCACTCACAAGCCTACCTCAAAACGGACAACTTCTGGCATCTCCTCCATCCTCTCTATGACTGTGGTCTCTTCGAATCATGAGGCCACCCTTGCAGCCAGCCCTTTGGCTGGCCTCCAGACACATTGACTGCGCAGAACTTCAAGTCAGTTGGTTGGTACGGCATCTCTGCCATGGCACCGTGACAGTGCTTGTGGGCTTGCACCACTGCTCTTGCATTTTACCACGGACACCTCAGGCTTCAGCTTGCCGCTGGTTCTGCAGGCCTCGTTCAAGTCCAGCACGTTCCTGGTCACACGCAGGTCACTGTGGACCCTGCCTTTTGGAACCACTAGAGGACCTCGTGCTTGCAGTGCTCCTAAAAAGTGACGGAGGTCCAAAACGGAACTCAGGAAGTGAGTGCTGTCCCATAGATGATTGACAGCCATTCGGGTCTGTCTTCTTTTGAAGGCGCCATGTTTGATGGTTTTAAACGAAAACCAAAAGGAGAACCACCATCGTCACCATCTGTTTTCTGTTTGTTTTGTTTGTTTGTCTGTTTGTTTGTTTGTTTCTTCTTTTTTTTTTGGGGGGGGGGGGAAGAAAAGAGACACGCCCAGTTGCGTTTCAGAAGGTTGTTTCCCTTGGTTTTAAAGTCGAAATGTTTTCCTGTTTCAGAATCCTGTGACAGCTTGGTTCGCTTGAATAGTATGTGTTGTTGTGTTTTTCCAAAACGACGTCCGGCTAACAACAAACAACAGATCAAAGCCTCAGCCGTTTACTTTTCAAGGCCGGTTTATCTAAGCATTTCCCTCTAAGGGCAGCACTCAGATTTAGGAATGTGATTGTTGTTGAGACCCCAAACAATCAAATGTTATGTAACAATCTTATTCAAAACAATCACGGCCACACAGTCAGAATTGGCAATGAGATCCCTTTTTGGCATCCTGGAAAGCTGTATGGCCATATGTTTTTGTGGCCCAAGCCGTGTGGACTGGCAAAAACACGTCACATGTGGGCTTCCAGGCTGGCTTCATTTTCTGCCTCGGCTTTTCGGTTTTTTCAGGATGGTTTCATATCCTTCGAAATGTAGCTTTCAGGACACGACTGTTCGGGGATCTGCCCACTCCCGTTGAAGCGCCTCAGGAGGTCTATGTCTACAAGACGGTCTTGGAGTCCTGCGGCGCAGCCGAAGCTTGCCTGCAGTCAAGGGATGGAAGCCATGGAATGCTCAGATTCGGACCCCCCTCAAGGCTGGGTCCCCCAGTTTTCTCCCCTTTTTTTTTTGGTTGGGAGGGTTCCCCTCAAATAGACTACGGAAAAGGGGTACCCTTATTCTAGCCTCTCTACTGGAGGACGTAGAGGGGGTGGTTTGTAAGGACATCCCAAAAGGACCATTGGTCTCCTTTTTTGGGTTAGTTCTGTTGGAAATAGAGGGGTTCCACTGGTTCAGATTGGTCTGTTTGTATCAGGGGTCACTGGATTTCCTAAAGCACAAGTTGATCAATTTACTGGTGGTTTCCTTTGAAACGATCGCCACTTTTGGTAGTTCCATCAAAGGAAACGGAGACCCCAGCGTAGGGAAAACCAAAGGACATCCACCTTTTCCATTTTGGTCCTGTTTTGCGGTGTGGGCAATCTATGGTGACAGGTGTTGGTTTGCGACACTGCAGGCTCCTCACGTGTGTCAAAACACGGAAGACCCCAAAGAGGTGGTTGTCCTGTTGGTGGCCCTTTAAACAAACCTGAATCAGGCCGAGTTTGTAAATCCCAAGTACTGTCCAAAAAGCAGTGGCTGGGGTGTGCTGGTTCCCTCTTGTTTTTGTACATAAAGCTTGCTGAAAATGCAGCAGAGTCTAGTGTGAGGAGGAATTCGCTTTGTTGGTTTAGGAAAGCTAATGAACATATAGGTGTGGCACAAAGTTTCAGGGCCAACCGCAGGTTTAAGTCTATACCAGAGTTCCATTTGGGGCCCCTGCCGTGGACAGACGAAATCATGGTTGACTCCATTGTTTGTTAGTATTTACAGGCGAGTCATTCCAGGATTTCTTAGGTGATGCCAAATGGATTTTGTCCGGCCTGTGTTTTTGCACAGGATCCCCCCCCAAAAAAGGAGAAGAAATGCGAATCATACCCGAACGACAGGTCATGTCAAGGGACATGGGTGTGCCTCGCAATAGGTGACTCACCTAATGGGTTGTGTTCCTTTTGGTTTCCCTCCTAGCTGAGTATATAGGTGGCACCCACTCCAAATACCCACTTTTTTGTGGGATATATCTTGCACATTGTTTTTTTGGGCTTGACATCATACCCCCCAGAAACAACAACAGTATTTGGAGGCATGCAGGTTCTTGCATGGGATCTGATTGACCAAGGAAAACGGATTCCTCAGTCCACCTGGCTCGTTTCCATTGAACAGATTCCTCGTTGTTTGCGCCATAGTTTTGGGGTGACTCGTTTCCACTAAACCCATTCCTCGTGGTTTTTGTCCATTTTGGGGGGGAAATCCGAAGGGTTCGAAGGTGTGTTTTCTCCATTTTGGGGGGATCGAAGGGTTCGGAGAAAAAAACAAAACCGAGGACCAGATTCCTCGTTGTTTTCTCCGTTTTTGGGGACATTGGAAGGGTTCGTGAAAAAAAAGAAAGATGCAAAAGGTGGGTGACAGCGTGGCCTTCATGGTGCACTGGAACTCCCGGGGCCAGCCGCAAGCCTCCGCCTTCCCGGAGATCATCCGGCTCTGCAGCGCCCAAGGCCAAGGCGACGCAGAAATTCGGATCCGAGCGAAATTCGGATCGGTTTGGCATGGGTGAGGACGGGTTTGGACTCGGTCGCGGCCGCCATTTGAAGCCACTTGCTGAATACCCGGGTAGATGAAGGTTATAAAGGGGCAGTCCCAGCCAGAAATAGTTGCGACTGCCTTCTTAGTTCTTGAAGCATGGTTCTGGGATTACGACCATTTTAATACCAGGTTTTGATTGTGACCCATTTGAAGTCACCAAGTAGAAATGTCAAAAGCCAACTTGGGGACTGGTGGACGCGGTCGCGGCCGCCATGTTAAGTCACCAAAGTCGTCCCCCAGCTAGGTGCCAACTTTCTCACCAACCTTTTTTGGTTGGGAGGGTTCCCCTAAAATAGACTGCACAAAAAGGGTACCCTTATTATTTTAACCTCTCGACTGGAGGACCTAGCCAAGAAGAAAAGTCCAGTGGTGGACTTCCTTTGATTCCGGTGGCAAAACAAATATCTTCTGAAACGCAAATGGCGGTTGGGTGTCTTTTTTTTGCCCCCCCCACCCAAGCAAGCTGGTGGTATTCCTTTTGGTTTTCCGTAAAACCACAAAAAATGTGAATTGGGGATCCTTCACTTCCTGCGTTCCGGAATCGGACTTTCGTCACTTTTTGGGAACACCGTAGTGATATTGCCAAAACGGCTGGAAACCCAACTGGGGATGTGACGTGTGTTTGGTTTCTAAACATGGTTGCTCTCAGCTGTCCCTGAAGGATCGAAAACACCGGGACAACAATTGGCGAATGGTTTCCTTTGGCCTTCCTTGAAAGTTGTGGCTCGTGTCGGGTCTTGGCAACACGGATTTCAGCATTCGGATCCCGAAGCTGGTGAGTTTGTTCCACCGGACGGTCCCAAGCTCAAACCGTATGCGGGGTGGTTTTTGTATTGCCAAAAATGTTTGGTGCTTTCCATGTTAAGGGGATTCAACAAACCTTACGTGGACCACGCGTTTTGATTTGTTGCCTCAACCACAGAGGTTGCGGGTTAGAAGAACAGGTGTGTTCTTGTGTGGGTCCTTTTCAGCCCAGTTCGCCGGATTTTCATGACAACAGATTCCCTCTTTGTCGTATATGTTTGGTCAAGGTCCCCAGAAAGTCAACCCGGTATTTCCATCTTCTTTGTGCTTGTTTGTTTAGGTTTTGATGTAATCTAGGTATATGCGTGGCGTCATCAATACTCTCTGTGCTCTTGCTGAGCCACTTCACCAGATCATAAACACCATTTTGTTCAATATCGCCTGGGTATACTAGAATAACAGAAATCAACATGTCAAAGGAATTGTTGAACAAGCAATGGACCCTTGCTTTTCCAGAGTACGTAAGTCAAAGCTTGTCAAATACATGGACTCCCCGCAAGTGCTTGGGGTCTTCCATTGGTAACTAAAAGAGGCCGAAGCACAATGCGAACAGCAAAAACCTCACTCTGTGAGATCCTGGACTTTAGTCTCTTGGGTTTGGACCTGAGTGGTAAACCAAGTTTGGTCTTTGGCCAATCCAAAAGTGGCCCAACTTCCCTTTCGAAAGCAGGCGTTGTCCCTTTTGAGCCTGGTGGGTCCTTGGTTTGTTTTCTCTGTTTCTTTCGGACCACCTGGGTTTTAGTCCACTAGTTTCCACTGAACGGGGAACATCACAAGTTGTTTGATTTGGGACGTGGAGGTTTGAACAGACCTCAAGTGCGTGACCCTGAATCCCGGTTCTTGATCAGGAGCTACCCTAGCTCTTCCTACTCCCTGAGTTCCTGGTTGCTTTCGTCACTTCGGGCTTGGACCAGATTTAGTAGCTACTTGTTTGGTTGATTCTTTCCCTTCACCGCTGGATCGGTGAGAGGTCCAAGACATGGATCCTGGCAGAAACTCCGAGTAAGATGTGAGAAGCAGAGATCCGGCCCGCTCTTTGCGGCGCCTTTTTCTATTTCCCCAGTGCCATTTGGGTGTGGCACCCCAAACTATGGCGCAAGACGGTCCTCCGGTTGGTTTCCCTACAAAAAAGGGGTACCCACTCCCAAAAAACGGCAGTTTGAAGGACTTGAATCAATGCTTCGGAAGGAGCACATGAGTACCAAAACGCTTCGAGACCTTTCAGTAGTTTTCGGGTACCCCTTAGTTGGTTTGGATTTGGATTTGAAGCTTTGGGTTCCTTTGCGGGGTAAATGGAGACCCCCTCCGTAATCAAGCCACCGGGCTCCAAACCCTTTTCGAGGGAAGCTGATAGTCGTTTCAGATCTTCTTCTGTGAGATGAGGAAGTCCCTGCCTCGATCCTCCAACCCATTGAAGTGTACAGCACGTTTCAAATAATATATAATAGGTTCTGGGAAACCCAGGCTCACTGGAATTGACCTTGTTACTGGGTTGGGAACCCCCTTGCCAGCTTGGCAAAACATCCAAGTAGGGGTTCCCAGAGCATAGGTGTCCTTTTTAGGTGAGCCTGGCTAAAACTAGATGGAGCTGATTTAGATGGGTTTTGTAAACCATTTACCAGGGAAACCCATCTATTTGTTGAAGAGGCCACCTATGCCGCGGAGCATTTTTTCCGAGCATCCTTTTTTTTTTCCCCGCGCAGGCGACATGGCGCTAAAGGGGACCTTCAAGTGGGGCCCGGAGGAGAAGTTCGGCTTCATCGAACATGCTGCTCCGGCTTCATGTAGGGAGCTGGCTCAAAAAACCGGAATTCCAAAATGGGGCAAGCCCTGGTAAGTGGAAACATGGACCACAACCTGCGGTTTGCCCCTCCTATTTAATTTTGAGCCACACCCATTTAGGGAGCTGCCGAAAAACGGAAACAATGAGCAACGCGATGTAATGACTTGGTGGCTCCCAGCCATCTGGTTCCTTAGCCTTTTAGCTTTTTAGTGTTTAGCGGTAGTTTCCATTGAACCCACTAAGAGTTAGCCACTTTTAGCGGAGGATCTGAGGGCAGCCCAGTAACGAGATGTAATGAGGAACGAGTGACTGGCCAATCTTGGACCAAGGACAAGCCATGAACTTCCAACTTCATTTTTCATGTGGATTCAAATACCCCAGATGTCTACTGGGTTCCTCCAAAGTTTTGGAGGGTTCCCTGCAAATTCATCTACCCAAAAGAGGGCCGTTTTTGTTTTTCTCCCCCGTGCACGTTTGGGTTCGGCCTTCGTTTGCAGTTGGGCCCGTGAAATGTCGCAGGATCTAACCCCAAGGAACTCTCCCCGAAGAATGGTTGAGCTCCGCACGGCTTTTGCTGACAGCACATTCCTCATAGCGAAGTTGGAGAACCTCCAGTTTTCCCAGCGTCGCAGACAATTGATTGCGCACTTCGTATTCCATGAGCCTTTTTTTCGCCGCCCTGCGGAACCTGAGTTTCCCAACCCTGAAGGTTCACCTTGGTTGGAGTTTTCCCCGGGTTGGAGTTTACCAACCCCCTAAAGACAGTTCACCGAAGGAGTTTTCCTAAGCCAAGAAGGCTTTGGGTCTCTTCAGCCAGTTTTACAGGAACTTGAACATAACCTGCAACCGGGAGGCGCCAATGGACCCCCAAGAAACCCACGAGGAACACCTTGAACCCTCATGGTCATCTCGCGGGCCAAGGGTTGCGGCATGAGGAAAACGGAAAACCCGTCAAACAACCCCTGCCCCGCCCCCCTCCGCCCAAAAAAAAGAGGAAAACAAAAGACAACGGGACCTCAAAGACCAGAGACACGACGTAACACACATAGCAAGCGGCCAAACAAAAAGGCGAACCCCCCTAAAACACGGAACCCCAAAGACCAGAAACACAACGCAAAAACCCAGCAACAAGCGCCCCCCCAAAAAAACACGGAGCTCCCCGAAGCACATCTCTCCGAACTGAGGCGCAGGTCATGGAGTTCTTCGGCCGAGCGGCTTGGGAGAATCCGTTGGCTAAGCAAAAGGGGGCTGCGACCACTTTGTCGTTTCCAGCATGTGGGAGTTTCATGTTTTTCTGATTCGAATCGTTTTCCAAAAAACTGGAGTCTTCATTTGGTTTCTGACAAAAATTGTTTCCAAAGTTTTTGGGAGGTTCATTTGCGTCACAATCAAAGCCCGATATTAAAATGGTCGGGACGCAGAACCATGCTTCAAGAATGAAGAAGGCGGAGATCCGCAACTATTTCTGGCTGGGACTGTCTCTTACTAACCTTCATCTACACGGGTTTTGAGCAAGTGGCTCGTTTGTTTCTAAAAATACATATGGTCGCTACATGTTACTAGGTCTCCCAGTAGTGCCCTTTTACCAACTTTTTGTTTGGGGGAGATTCGGTTCCCCTACTAATTAAAATAGACAAAACCGAAAAAAATCGGGTACCAACTCATTGTAACCTCTCTACTGGAGGACCTAGTGTTGGTTCATGTTTCCAGGTTGTCCAAACTCTCCAAGCGATGTGCCCATGGGCACGAGGCCCCGGCGGGGCACGCTGCACGCTTTTCGATCGCAAGGTTAGACCCTTAGAAAAGAGGGACCTAGGCGGGTGGGTTTTTGCTCAGGTTTCCCTTCAAAAGCAATCAACCCAAAGGAGCCACTTTTCCTCCGCACCTGGTCGAGTCTAAAGGAGAAGCGGTCCCTACATGTTGTTCTTGATGTTAACGCCGGCTCCAGAACAACTCCAAACCTGTTTCTTCTTTCGCAAAACATCAACAGGGCAGTAGGCCTAGGGATCCTAGGGATTGCTTGTGTTTGGCCGCTTCTTGGGGGAAGATCACTTCTTTGTTTAGACTGTTTCCCCGCAAACGTGGCCAGTCGAGAATCTATTGGATGGAGGTTTGTGTCGTTTTCCCGTCTTGGAGGGGAGTTTGCACAGCTCAGGATACCTATGTGCGCAAGGAGCTTGCTGACACCCTCACCCCGGGCGGCCATGTTGCTTTCAATATCAAGCTCAACAAGGTGCGGGGCGTGGAGTGGGTCAAACGCCTTCCATTTAAGACACCTCCAGAGCGTTTTTGTTTTGCATGGTGCTTTGGGTCCCTTCGTCCTTTTGAGGTCAAAATCGATCAACGTCTGTGATACCAAGTTCCAATAGATTCCTGGAAGTGAGAAAGTCGTGGAACCAACCACTTTGCCACAGATTTCAGTCTATCTTCCGCAACCATCCAACAACTGCTTCCGAGGCATGTCCAAAACGCCAAGTATGTCCAGGCAGCCTGGGTGCTGGTAGAGACCACCGCCTTGGCCGGTCTTTGGTGTGACTGTCACTACCTTTTGCACACGTTGCGGGGTGGCTTAGACCGATTTTCGTCCGTTGGGGTTCCATGTTGGATGTGCGTTGCCAAGTTAGTTGTTGGCAACCTAGTGGGCTAGCTTTCTAGCAACGAACATCCAAGTAGCCTTTTTTCGGGGGTGTAAAAGGGAAACCACAAGGACACAGAGGCCATTTTGGGGGGTTTCCCTGCTTTGAGACAAACCCATGTGCTGTGGGTTGCTTCCAAGTATCTTCCCACGAGTCACCTGACTTACCAATTGGTGATTTGGGGAGTTGAACCCTTCAAGGTCACCCCTCAAGTGGTAGGTTGATACCAGAAACCGTCAGTTTGATGATCGCAGCCAAACCAAATCCTCGCTTCCTGAGTGGATGGGCCAAAAACAAGCCACCAAACTGCGCTTGTGCCACACAAATTGACCAACAATGGGGCCAAAATACGAAGGTACCTTAAACCCTCCAAAACAAGAAACCAATTTTTTGTGGTTCCAAAGCCTCCCACGCTGAGCCGCTGAGCCGCTGAAGCCGCTTGCGGCCAGGACTACCAGCCCTGCGCGCAAGAGGTGGTGCCGGTGCCGGAGAACTGGGAGCCCACGCCCGGGGACGTCTCCATGACCAAGGCGCAAGCCGTCGGCTCGGCGAAAAGTTTCGCCGAGTTCAAAGCGAACGGCGAACGGCGAACGCGGGCGGTGGGGCGGGGCGGTGGGGCGTGGCGGTGGTTCCGAGCTCCGGGCTCCTAAAGTGGCTTCCTCACTTGAGTGCTCCGGCTGCGTTGGTCACTTTTGCGGTTTGGGTTTAGTGGCTTGCACAAAAAGCGTGGTGACTTTTCTTGGCCCCTCGGCCCCTCGGCCCCTCGGCCCCTCGGCCCCTCGGCCCCTCAGCCCATCCACTTAGGCCGCGAGCCATGGGATTTCGGAGATGCCCCCAATGCACTGTGTGAACCCCTAAGGGGTGAAGATATGGGTGTCCTTTTTTTCTTCTTTTAGTTGGTACTTCTCTTGTTTCTAGGCTTTCATTCTGGGGTTCCCTAAAAAAGACACCCAACTGTTGTCTGTGTGTGCGTGCTTTTGGGCGGGGGGGTGTCCTCCCGCCGGGTCAACTTTTGATAACATCTGAAACATGTTTGCCCTGAAATTAACTTCTTAAGTCCTAGGCTTGGGTTCTGTTGAACCAACGAAAGTAATGAGTACTGATTTCGGGGTGGGGGTCTTCTCAGAAAATATGTTACATGTTAAGTTTGCTGAACAATAAATAAGTCTTGTTTTAGCGTGAGATGAGTTGATGCTTGAAGTCAGTGTTCGAACACGTTGAAAGCTGACTGGAGGGTGTTAAACATTTACTTGCCCTCCTGCCCACCAACATGGACCCCCTTTCGGGCCGCTAAGAAGAAACACCGCCCAACATGGGACTCAGTAATTAAGGTTCCATGTTGCATGGGAGGGTACTATTTTGTTTTCTTTCAACGACGTTTTATTTTCTCTGTTGGTTTTAAAGGGAAGCTACAGCCGCTGGACACGTTCTTTTCAATGTTTTCCAGCGGACCCAATGCGCAAATGCTCAACTGTCCAACATGGAACACCTTTCAGGCCGCTAAGAAGAAAACTCGCCCAGCATGGGACTCAGTAGGGCCTCAGTAAGGTTCCAAGCTGCACGAGAGGATGCATTCCTTTTCTTTCATTTGCTTAAGAATATATGTTTTATTTTTCCTCTGTTGGTTTTAAAGGGAACCTATACATACCACTACCGGACATGTTTTTTTTTTGAAAACACATGTTTTCCAGCGGACTCAATGCGCAACCGGTCAGATGTCCCTTGGTTAGTGGTGTGGATTTGGATTTCAACCCCTTCTCCAAGCCACCCCTTCTTCCGTGGGAAGCTGAAATGGACTCGTTTGGTCCCTGGCGCCCCAGACATCGGGACCTTTTGGAGCCGGTTCGAGTGGGTTTTTGCATCGCCTATCGGCAGGAGGATCCCACGGTCCCGCCGGCCTGGGAGGGCTTGAAGCGGGGGAGGCAGGAGTGCAGCTCGGCGCAATGACTTTTTCTTTCCGGTGTCCGAAGTCCCATCCAACAAGCGAACTGGGGGTGCTGGTACCAGCAGTTTAGGGTGTGTCCGTTTTCGACCGATCGAAATCCAGGTTGGGGGTCTAAAAAGACACGCCCAAGGGCATCCGAAAGCATCGGTTTTTCTGGGGAAGCACCTTAGACAGGCAGTGCTGCCCATTGCCTCCTTTCTTTTTCTTTTGTTGAAGCAGGTTTTCCCTTTAAAACCCACTAGCATTGTCGCAGTTCTTTTTTCGGCGCGGGGAGGGGCCGGAGCAATGAGGCGTGAACTGCCAAAAAAGGAGTGCCCTTTATGTCACAAAATCCACCGAAACCTGGTGTGGGAAACCAACTCCGAGGGGCACATCCCCATCGGCCGGACGTTCGATTCCGAGGCAAGCCCACTGGAGAGATCGTCACAGGCACCATTAAGGCGAGTCGCATCGTATCTCGGACGTCCAGTGGGTGGATTCCGTTGTTTGTCCCATTTCTTGTTTGAGGGAGTGTCCTTGCAACTTCAACTATCCAAAACATAAGAGTGCTCCTTTTCTCCCTCCACCTCAACCAACTCAACATGGAACCCGTAAGAAGGGCGTCCCCCAAAAGGGCAAGGGTTGTGCAACCATTCACCAACCAACCAACTAGCCAACCATCCAGCCAACCAACCAACCGAGCAACAATGGATCTGGGGTATCAACGGCGAAGTCGTACTAGCTGAACCAGCCAAATGGAGTACCACGATGTTGCGCCTTGCCGAAGGGGCCAATTGTGGGGGTGTTTGTTTTGAGGGTACCCTGTTTTGGGAAACCCAACTAGGTCCCCCCAGCTAGGTGCCCTTTTACCCCTTTCTTGGGAGAGGGTTCCCCTACTAAAATAGACTACAGAAGAAAAGGGTACCCTTATTCTAACCTTCTCTACTGGAGGACCTAGCCAAAGAAAAGCCATCTTTTAAGCAGTGCCCCTATTTTGACACCTACCCTGCTTATATCCGTTTGGGGAAGAAACAGCACCAGGGCGCACGTGGTGACAAAGGCCTTTGGTCTGTAAGGGCAAGGTCAACCCCGGACACCGAAGCACTTAATTCTGCCAAGGCTGGTTCTTTTTTGCTTGGAAGAAAGGCCACGATTCAACTCTGTATTGTACTGTACGTGCTTCCACCTGCGCACGTCTTGCCTTTGCTAGAACCCAAGGCTCATAGCCGTGTTTTTTTGTTTAGGTTAGGTTGGTTAGATGCAGAATGGCACTGGTTTAGATTGGTGTTCCATTTACCAAAACCATCTATGTTTCCAAAAGGTCAGCAAAGCCAAAGCTTGTATTTCACAGCCTCGGGAGTTTGTTCAGTTGCTTGCAAGCAACCATGGGCCATGCGTTGAAGCCAAGAGCAAAGCTGCAGTCTCACTGGTCCAATGCGAATCGGCCGGATCTACCCTGTTGGTTTCCCTGTGGCCCATACTGCGGATGGTTGCGAAATCCATTTCGCACCTAAGAAACCAAGGGAGGATAAATCCCATGTAAATACCAGCAAACAATGGTTTCCCATGGATTCAAGGTGCTGCTGGATTTTGTCCATATGGCAGTGGCTCAAAAACATGAGCCCAAGCCATGGCACCAGACCAAAACCTGCGCAAGCCTCTGTGATGGAGTTGGATCCACGCTCAGCAAGGTTAACGTGTACCTTTTCAGGGCTCATTAAAAGATCTCCATTTTGCCTTTCCATTTGAAACATGTGGCTTTTCCCACCCAAAATACACGGACACCACCATTTACAAGTTGCAATGTCCAGGTGTATAATGTAAGGATCCCTGCTTTTATTTCCAGGTCCCTACAGTGCAAGTGAGCATTGTTGCTATCCCTGCGAAAGGCTTAGGGGAGCCAGTTTCATCGTTTTGTCGTCGGTTCCCCGACAGCGCCAGGCCTACAACGAGGAGAAGGGTTGGGGATTTTTGACGTCGGACGACTTGCAAGCGAGGCGAGCTGTGGCTGGAGTCGCAAGTCGCAAGTTGCGAACAGCAAACGCTCTATGGGGGTGTGTCATTTTTTGAGGGTACCCTTTTTTGGGTTAGTTTAAAGGGAATCTCAAAGAAAAAACAAACTTTAGAGGGTCCCCCGTATTTTGACACATACCGCCATGTATGCAATATTTACCCACACTAGTTTACTCTCTTTGTGAGAGACCAGCTCTGAACCACTTATTGGTTAGCTTAACCACGCCTCAGTGTTCCTAACCGCGGGCTTGTTGTTTAAAGCGTAGCCTCGTCTTGTAAGCTTTGCTGATTGTTGCTTCGTGTTTTTCGAGTCCAGCAGGAGCCGCATTTGTTCTGAGCGAGCTGTGATCTCAGCGGGGGATGCAACCTCCAAAGTGGGGAAAGGCTTGTTGGCGCATTATTACTTCCCTGCATGAATATGGAAATTTATGGAGCCCAAGAAGACAGTTCCGCGAGAACTGACAATTGTCTGGATTCCGTGTCAATCAGGGGAGTATTTGCCAGAATGGTTTTGCATGGTTCGACGTGGCAGCTTGATCTGTGTGTGGCCAGGTTCCGTGCCGACGTCTTTGTGCACAAGGGCTCGATGACCAATTGCCCCTCTAAGGCGCGGTTCCCAGGGCTCCCCTCGGATTTTTTAGTGGTAGCTTCCACTAGACCACAAGAAGTTAAACCATTTGCAGGGGATCGATCGGGAACAGCCCAGCTAAGAACACATGTGATTTCCCTTGTTGTCTTTTAGAGCAAATGGAGCTCAAGCGCCGGCGGTTGGCTTTGGGGCCTTGACGCCGTGAGATGAAACCGCGGGTGAAAAGCCATAGCATTTGTGGCGGTATTTGCGGAGGAATCCAGTTGTGTCAGGGTTTCGTCAGTTTTTTGTTTTTTTAATCACTCCTAACTCAGTTGTTCAGTGGCACCCTTTTTCCATTTTTGTTGGTGGCTGCCCGGCTGCCCCATTAAAAATGGTCCTCCTGCCCAAAAAGGGTTCCCTTTGTTTCCCATCGCTGAATTCAACTCTTCGCTGAACAACTCTGGACTTGAGACTTGTGGGTATCATTTTGGCAAAGTTTGGAGTTTTCAACTCGCAAAGGCCCGGCGTTTTGTTCCCCGGTGAGTTGGTGATTTGAATTGGAGCCGGGATTCAGCCCTAGCTGCACCTCCAAACCAGCGGGCTCTCAAGAGCGAAGCTGAGATGTTGGGTTTCAACATGAAACCATCACTGAAACATCTCAGGGGTTTAGTGGTTTAGTGGTTTCAACCCACTGTTTCAATGTTGGGTTTTACACTTGAAGCATTTTTTGGCTGGTGGTTTAGTGGTGGAATTCCAACCACCGAACTGCTAAAAAATAATGTTTGTTTTTTTTGGCTCCCCCTTCCAACGACAACCAAGAAATCAAGGGACCGCACGGTTTTGGGCAATGTTTCCATTTACCAGGGTTTTCATATGGGGTACCTGTTTTGGACCCACCGCCTTATGTTTTGTAAAGCTGGCCAACGGTCCAGAATTTTGTTTTGAGTGCAACGGCCGACTCGACATCGGCGCAAACTTGAACATATTGGCGCAGGTTAGGGGGCTCTGGCTGAACGTCTCGACAGAACCCTTGGTTCACTCAGGCAAACCTTGGTGGTTTGGATAGGTGGTTTGGGGATTCTTGTAGCGTGGGGCGCGGACCTAACCTCCAAACCAAGTATGGGGAAGCTGATTGATTGTTTGGTGTTGTGCTGCTTCTGTGTTGGTTTGCAACGCAAGAAACAGCAGAGCTGAGTTTTAGGGATTGAGGGTTGGTTTGGGCAGGCAGATGCCAACCTTACCAATTTGGGTCTTGCAACCTTGCAACCATAGCAGATTTCTCTCATGAGAAGTGGAACATCCATGTCCATGTTTGTGCTTCAGTGGTTTTCTGGCTCACCCACTTAAACATGGTCTGGGGGTCTCCTCCATTTATATTTTAGCGTGGACTGAGCAGCACATCATGTGTTTTGGTGCACCTGTAGAAGGCCAAAATACGTGTTGTGTTTTGTTGGCATTTGTTCAAAGAGCCCGAAAAGTTGATTTCGGATTTGTTTGTTTTTTGGCGGCTTCCCTTTAAACCATGAGTAAGGGGTACCGAGTCTGAAGCGAATCAACGCAAATCCCTATGAGTCTAATCTGGGAGCCTCAAAAAGGGGCCTTGTGGAGGCCCCTGTCCCCATGGAGATCACTTTCTATCATCTCTGTTGCCCAGTGGCGCCCTTTTTTTCCTTCTTCGGGAGGAAGGCTTCTCTTTGAAACTCAAGCAACCAAACAACTTGGATGCCCACGTCTTTTTTTCCCATGGAAATCCACTGACCATCTGAGTTATGGAGGCTCCAATGGTGCTGGGAATGTGTGGATCTCTCAGGCTATTGGAACTATGGTCACCTTCGAGCTGGGCCTCACTGAGGACCAATCAGCGAATTTGATTCGAAATGGGCTCGGTCTGTCAATGGACTGCGAAAGGCTGCTATCATTCCCTGAGACCTGAGACCTGATTGATTGATTGATTGATTGATTGATATGTGCTCTCCTGGATCGATCCAGTCGCGATCGCCATCGATCGCCTATTTTTCCATCCGCTTTGCCATCCCAAAAACCAGGAACGGTGAACAAATAAAAACGCGATCGCAACTTGGCTATCTAGGTGGCTTCAATGTTCCGAAACCCCAAGCAAGCTGTCCCAAGAACAAGTCGTTGGGTTGGTGAAGGACAGGGGCAACTTAGGACTCGTCCCTTGAAACAAGCAGCAACTTGGCTATCTATGGTTCAATTGCAAGCGCAAGTTCCAAGGCTTCGGGACCACCCGGACGTTCTCCGATTGCTCCAAGACAGGCCAAGCCACAGGGGAGAGCTAGGTGAAGGTTATGACTTGTCGCTAGCTGTGGCTCTCCTTTGGCTTATCAGAATAGGATTCAGGAGTCATTTTGGTTTGGGCTCGGGCCTCTTGGGTGCTGTCTCGTTGGATCTGCAGCCTCTTGTTTTGGGGGGAACGTGGTTGTTTGTTCTGTTGTCTCACTCGACTGCAAAAAGTTCAACAGTCCGGGCAGGGGGTGATAGCCATCAATGTCTTATCTCCAGATCTCGTTTGAGTTGTGCTTTGTTTCTTACGTCTTAAGGTTCGCTGAAGAAGGACCAGCATCAAGGGCATGTGCTCATTGGGGGCGAAAGCTAAGTAGGTAGTTGTGCCATGCGTTCTTGAGTGTACAATCATGGTCATACTTGTTTGCCCTCTTTTTGCTCGCTGCTTGTTCGCTTGTTCGCTTGCTTGCCTGTTTGCTTGCTTACTTGCCTGCTTTCGGCTTTGCTCGCTTGTGGGCGGGCTTGGCTGTCTTGTTTACAAGGCGCTTTTTTACCTTCGCTTTGTTCCGCTTTGCCGGCTTGCTTTCTTGATTCTGTGTGACTGTGCTTTAGTTTGCCTTGAAGTGTCAGTGAGTTATCTGCCGGCGACAAATCGTGTGAGCTGGTTTCCAAGGTAGCGGGTGGGTGCATGTCCGCACGCTTCCACATGGATTTAATATGGGTATGGGTCAAATATTAAACCACCAGGCACCGCAAATGTTGGTCTACGTTTCCTTGTACCAGGGTAGCCAATTTTGGGGTGACCCTATGTTTGACCCACAGTCCTATGAACTCGCGCCTTTCCCTAGCGGTCACGACCCCTGCAATTTTTGTCCCGCAGGAGGGCAAGCCACAGGCGCAAAGCCGCCCGCTGTTTCGTGTCGCGTTTCCGGCGCGGGGGAAGCTGAGCTCTGTTTCGGTTGAAGGCTGGCCACAGGAAAAGCCAAGCCCGTCCGGAGAAATGCGCGTTCCCCTGGAGTGGTCTGAGTTGGATGCCCGGGCCTGCGCCCAGAGAACCTGCATGGAGAATTCGTGTCCCATGGCACCCTTGAAACCTGTTGGGGCAGTCTGACGCTTGGCAGCCGTCTCAAGAGGGCCCGGTTGGCACAGATACCCCGCCCAATGGCAGCAAGCTACTTTTGGGGAAGCTGGAAAGTGGGTAGTACGGCAAAACATATTTGGCAAGGGTGCCTTGGCTTACCATACCTGTTTTTATCTGATGGTTCTGGTGTAGTGGGCTTCATCCCTGAGGCGTTGTAGCCTAAACATGGGCTTGGCGGGTTGTCCAAGGGTCTCCACCACGATTGTCAGCGCTCTTCGAGCCTGTTTGCACTACTTCTTGCTTCACCTGAGATCCTTGATCTTGGGTAGGCAGAGCTATGAGCAAATATTGACTTGCCCGGACAATCCGGGATTCTGCGCAACGTGTTTTTTGTTTTTAACCAGAGCAAGCAGCCACCTCAACTTTCCCCAGGTTCATGGCAGGTCCCTCAAGTCCCACTTTGTCCCCCATCAAAGAACCTCACACTCAGAATTGTGCGTGGGACTTCTTCAATCCCTGACCCTTCCATGGCTTTTCCCCATGTCATGCTTTCCCTGGTGATGTGCAAGCTGCACGGGACCCCTCAACAGGGCTGCGCTCGAATCCAAGAGGCTGCCCCATAGGAAGCTGAGTGGTCAACATATCCTAAGATTTTTTGTTTTTTCAAAACAACTCTGGGAAATCCGCCTTTCCTAAGGGAAGCATGAATCGCCATTGCGTGGTTCGTGGTTGTAAGACTACAACGCAACAACGTTCGTCAGGCGCTGAACGTCCATGCAGGCACGACTCAGAACGGGTGAGACGGTGGGGATGGAGAGAGGGAGCCTTCCTTTGGCAACCAGTGAGGGTTGCCCCGAAGGGCAAGAGTACTAAATTCGGATGTGAAGAGGGTTTCTTTTTTAGGCCAAAACCAAAAACATGGTTGTCAATTGAGCAGCGCCAAAAACTTTTATGAAAGGAATTAATTGAGGGCCTATCTTAATGAAGTTTTGCGAAAGCTAAAACGCAGGGCGCGAAAGCCAGCGAAGGCTTGCGGCGAAAGTGGTTGAAGAAGAGCCCGCCGCGCAAGCGTCGCGAAAGTGCATATTCGCAGTTGCTGTGTTGCCCGCGAAAGCTCGGCGAAAGTGATCGTGACAAAACGCATGCTCGCGAGAGTTTAAAATGTGTGGCCGCGAAAGCATCGCGAAAGGTTCTGCGAAAGTGGTTTGTTAGTAGAGGATTTCATGCACCCTATTTTCGGCACTGCTCAATTGACCACCTGTTTTTTTTTGTAAAACAATGGCCCTGGAAAAGGTTTCCTTGCCATCACCCGTTTCTTGTGAAAGGCTTGGTCTTGCGATGCTCGCGCATCCATGCGCATAATGGCACCCAACCAGCAACTGGTTTCTGTGTGTTTCCCGAGAAACAAAGGAAACAAACACACACACACACACACCAAAAAAAAGCACAGGGGACCCCTTACAAATGGTATACCCATGTTGGGAAACCATCCCGGAGGAGAAATCAAATGTGCTACAATAATTCGATTCGGGTTGTGGAGAAATTAGTTTCAAAACCCAGGTCAGTCATGATCACCCAACCATGTGTAGTTGTTTTTTATTGCACACAGGTTTATCCCATGGTCATTTGGTCTAAGACCCCACAAGCCCATTCCAATAATTTAGCAACCAAAAAGACGTCACCGCTTTGAGGTTGCCTCGGTGGGTTTTGGAGGACAGGTCTCTCGATCAGACCGAGCAACTATGTGGCTGTTGGAAAGAGGCAGAAGGAAAGCACAGGGAACTGGAGCGCCCAAAACCATTGGCCCTTGAGGTGGTTCTGCCTTGATCGCCATCTTAACAGAACCAAAAATAATAATAAAATAGGCACTGATAGCCATCTTAGCAGAACCAAAACTAAAACAAATTATAGGCACAACTTGTTGTTTGAGAGGGAAGGCGCCTTTCCTTGGGGTGGTTCAAGGGCAACCAACGGATGGCCACTTGTTTGGAAAGTTGCCTTGGAGTGCTTTGGATAGGCCATCCGAAATCTGCTTCGCAGTTGGGAAAAACCACGAGCCCACCTGGTGCAGGAATCTGTCCATCCACAAATTTTCAGGGGCCTCTTCAGAATGGCAAACGAGCCAAGAATATCTGACATCTATGTCAGGTTTGGCATTTGCGCTGATCTCAATTTGCATTGGTTTAGCATCTCCCCATGATACTGGGCGGAAGATTTGCTGGTTTAGATTCGGCTTGGTACGGGCTGATTCTGTTTTTGCAATTTATAGGGAGATTCGGTGTTTGGGCTTAGGTTTGTCAACAGGGTGCATGTATGAATATGTGGGAAGGGATTACTTTGTTTCAGTAAACCCAAAGAGCAACCAACCACTTGCTTTTTAGTCGAAAGTGGGCGGCACCGTGTGATCATTTGGGTTGAAGCATTGCCTTTCAACGGGAATGCAATTGTGCCATCTATTCTCACGGTGTCACAGAAGGACGAACGGTGATTCCTTTACGTGCTGTTTCTTGGGTTACAGTTGGCACAACCATCAAGTTCGAGTCAGGTCAACATGCAAAGCTTGTGGGTGTTCACATCCAGTAGAGGGAGCTGTATGGTCTCACAATCAAGTTCCGTGTTTGGGGTGAAGGAGTCTTTCATTCTTCCAAGGCAACATACACAGGAATCCACTTCTTTTCATTGACGGAGCGCTTTCCAAAGGAACTTGTTGCCCTTCTCCGGCACCCCACCGACTTTGTCAACTCGGGTTTTGGACATGGAACAAGTTGTTGGGACCCGTGTGCTGGTCGGTTCTCCTTGAGCAACACCTTCTCACCTTCGGATGGCTCAGTTGCCCTTCTCCGGGTTGCTTCCCTTTTTCCTTTTCTTGGGGAAGGGTTCCCCTTGAAAGTCAACCACCCCCCCAAAAAATGAATGGATGCCTTTTTTTCCCCAAAAAAAAATGGATGCCCTTTTTTTCCCCCAAAAAAAAGGGATGCCCCTTTTTTTCCCCATGGACATCCACCTCTGAGACGCGTTTTGTTTGGCCAGCTCGGTCGGTGGAACTCCGAGATGGATCCTCAGGCAGCTCCGTTCCGGTGGAGCCCATGGCGAAGAGGCAAAAGGTGGAGGCCGGCTGGCCGACTTCGCGGCGTAGCCCCAGGTTCCTTTTAGAGTTGCCCCGTGAACACACCCACCAAAGTTGCCCAGCTTTGCCAACGCAAAAAACATATACCAAAACGGGTGTTTTCCAAAAGAAAAAAACAAAAAAAACGCCCAACAGCAGAAAGGCCGCGAGGTGTGGAAATCCACAGGTCGACCATTTTTGTGCCGATCGGCTTTTCGATTTTGACTCTGGTTGCAGAATTCGGATTTTTGCTCAGTGATTCTTGCTGGTTGGGTTGCGGACGGCTAGAGGGGATAGTAATTTGGGAGTAGTGCATTCCACCAAACATGAAAGTGCTTTCCGGTTGCGGCCGGCGAGAGGGGATTGGATCCTGGAGTTCTTGCCACCACACTAGCGGGGCTTTGCCTCAGAACAGGGCCGCCAACAAAAAACTGGTGGCAACGCCAGGGGTCATCCAGAAAAAGGACACTATTCCGCTTTCCTCTAACTAGGTCCCCCCGTGGTGCCCTTTTACCCTTTTTTGGGGGGGGAAGGTTCCCCTAACATAGACTAAAGAAAAAAGGGTGCCCTTATTCTAACCTCTCTACTGGGGGACCTAGTCTACTTAGTGGCTTGGATTGATGCTTGGGAGGAGTTTTCGGGGTCTCCCAAAAATCCCTCTACAAGAATCACAATGCAAGTCCCCAGACAAACCAAAGTACCGACTGAGGTATGTCTTTTTTTAGGGGGTCCCCCAAAATGGGTGGTTTTCCTTTTGGTTTCCCTTTAAAGCCACAAACCAAGGGGTAACCTCAACAAAAAGACAAGCTCACATGGCTGTGGCTCAAGATAGGTAATTTCCAACCCTCAGAGTGCAGCAACAATCAGCAACAAATCTGCCGTCCCCTGCCAGCACCCCCCAACCATTGCTTGTGGGGGTTGCTGATCAAAGTTACAACATACTTAGCTGGGTTTTGTCTCCCAACAAGGCTTCCCTGCATATGGCTGCATTTTGATTTAGGCTTGTTTTTTTTTTTTTTTTCAGGTTGGTTTGCAGGCACACCAACAGGACAATTACCATTTGTTGGGTCCCCCGTTTCTTTTCTGTGTTTTTTTTTTACACACACACAATTGTTTGAGCCACACCCATAAAAGAAGGGTCCATATGAAACAATTCCGGCGGACTTGTGGGCATTCTTGGCGCCCTTCAGAGCTGGTCCAGAAGGATGGAGGCCAGGTTCAAGACGTCAATATGACCTCGTTTGATGATCAGCTTCGCAACTTGGACTGATGCCTTGAAGGTGCCAAGCCTTGGTGCCACCAGATGGCCGTGGCTCAAAAACGTGGTACCAACATGGCTTGCCCTGGCAAATGGAACCAAAGACTAAAACCCGCGTAACCCCAGCTCTTTAATTTTGACCCATACCCAGATGTCAACAGACTGCCTACTTTCCAGGTATGTCTTGTGGCCAGAGGTGCGTACGGCTGCCTGTAAAGACTAATGAACGTGTCAGATTTAGTGGACCCACCTGCGTGCTATCTAAGCTCATGTAGCATACACACAAGCCTTCCAGGCAGCTGATTTTTCACGAATGCCCCGAGATGCAAGCCTTTCCTTTTGCAAGAAACACCACATGGATTGGACTTGCCACTTGGTGCCTTGACTTCTCTCGCTTACTTTTGCAAGTGCTCCAGAACTGAACCCGCAATTTTGCCAGCTATGCCGCGAGCTGTCCTGTGCTTCACTTCTTCAGGGCAGGGCTTAGTCAGTTTGCTGCAAAAGGAAAACAACGAACCAACCCTTCGAGGCATACTGCCCTTGCGCTTCAGATTTGCTATGTGTCCTTCTGGTTGCGAGAGAAATGGACATTCTATATATGGCCATCTGCAGCAAATGGACATGAAAGGGAGTCAACCGTAGCAATCCGTTGGCTTTCAAACAAAGAATTCAGGGCACCTGCAATCAGTCCAGTCGGCCAGGAGTTTGCCGGCATGATGCCGGGTATGACGATGCCGGGTATGGCAATGCCGGGTATGGCCAACCCCATGGCAGCGATGGGAGCGCCCCAAATGGGACAAGGAATGGCGGCGACCTGAGGGGTTTCGAGGGTGGAGAGGGAACCTCGTGGGGATCGGTTTAGGGTAAAACGGGGTACTACTTTCTAGATGGGTATGTCTTTTTTGAGGTTCCCCCTTCTTTGGTAGTTGTAAAGGAAGACCAAGCGGAAAACCACTGCTTTTTTGGCAGGGGTCCGCTAAACACAGTAACATCCATATAAATATATTTATATATATGTATACTTGTTTTGTGGGACGTCCTGGATGTGTAGTTTCCACCAAACGCGGCACCCTTGGCGAATTTTCCACCAAACCCTTCAGATGAAGGGACCCCAAGTGAAACCCATCCAAGGACACTGGGTGTTCCCCTCTGAACCTCTGAGCATCTCTGAGCCTAAAAGGTTTGGGACGGGACCGATCCAGGGGGTAGAATCCGGGGAGCTTCCCTGTTGGTGCGATAGGGAATGAGGGAAAATGAGCCTGGGGATTCCCTTAAAGGACGCCATAGGGGACGGTGTATGCCCTCCAGGAAGTCAAAGCTGACGATCGGATTCGTGGAAGACTTGCTGGTGCTGAAGGAGTGACTCCCAAGAACCCGGTGAAGCGGTCTACCAAAAAGCCACGGCCAAACTGGGTGCCCAGCCCAGAAAGACATCTTATTAAAAAATGTGGGACACGGTCCGCTAGAACACTTTTCACAGATACTAAAATGGGGCACCCTTAGGGTGCATTTCTTGTCGGCTTCCCGTTTAAAGCCTCGGGTCAAACCATCCTGTTGCCGGGCGCTCTCAGGCACCAGGCGGCTTCAACATGTGAGCCCGGCGCTTGGGCGAATCGGTTTTCACGTGTCGCGCGGCGGGCCCCTCGTTTTGGCAAAGTGAAGGGACCCAACTCCAGGTTGCCCAGTGCGTTGCTTCCTTTTTTCAACTTTTTGTTGAGAAGGGTTCCCTTCAAAGTCAACCAACTAAGAACAGGGATGCCTTGTTTTCAATGGCCACTTTGAACTGTAAATGTGGCGAAAGGTGCTTGCACTTGCAGTGTCTTTCTTGGGAAATCGAACGCCGTATGCTTTTCGGGGAATCACACGGAGGGTGTCTCATAGATTTCGAGATTGGATTGTGTCTACAAAGTACCACTCGCTTTGTGCTGCCAGTGGTTTTTGCCGTTCGCGGGAGTCCCCAAAGGGGCCTTGTATCAAGTGGTGGCTGGATTGCAGCGACGCCGGCGAGCACCTCTTTATGTAGTCTACCCCAGCTAGGTGCCGTTCTCTCCCCTTTTTTGGGGGAGGGTTCCCCTAAAATAGACGACAGGAAAAAAATCGGGTACCCTTATTCTAATCTCTACTGGACCTCTTTCTGCAATGGATGTTCATGAGGCCTTCCGAGAAAATGTGGGTTTTGGGGCCTGTGATACCAAAGGACCCCCCTGAATTCAAGGGGATGAAATTATCACATAGTGGGTTATTTCCCCTTGAAATGGTGCCATACAGTTGGGTGGGAAGCATCACCCGGTTCAAGGTGGTGCAAGTGTGTAGCATGTGGTGAAGAAACAATGCGTCAAAGGTAACATGTTTGGGGCAACCTGTGTATGTTTCCCTCTTTCAAGGGCTAGACAGATCCTGTATTGGAGCAGCCATATTTGCCCAGGTTCAGCCACACAAAGTTTGCGACAGTCTTTGCATCTAGTGACGGGGATATCCAAGATGCCAAGTACCGACTTTGGATAGCACTTGACCTCTAGAGACCAACAAAGCATGCTGCGCCAAAAAAACCCAGCTGTCGTGTGCCCTGCTCAGATGCGGTGGTGCGTTATCAGAAGTACTGGCACCTTCCTGGTGTCATGTTGTGCAGCGTTTCACTAGCTCCCAAAAATATGTAACTATTTGGACCGCTCAGCCACGTCTCCCAAGGGCTTTGAACTGTACTGGCCTGTGCTTTACCCAATCTGAATAGCAGTCTAGCAACACACTTGATTTGGTGCACGGACCTTCCACTCGGAAGACTGTTTGCCTGTGCACGTCCATGTTTGTGGGAACGTAATCTGTTTGTAGACGACACCCAAGCTGATTTTGCCCTGAGCCTGGCAGCGGGCCTATCATATCTAAAAATGCGATGCTCGACCTAACTCAAGTGTAGCAAGCCAGGGTTCTCGGAATCCACCAAATTGGTCTAAACAAGCAGTCAGCCAAAACCCATGTGGAGGGAACATCTGCTTTTGGCTAACTGTTTTCTTGTGGTTTCCGCTGGGCAGCCATCAAGTCAGTGCTGAGCCGGCGCGGGTTCCACTGTCACCATCCCTGGTGGAGCTATGCGAAAAATCGCCACCCAAGAAATCATACCGGAGGCACGTTGCAGTTGCCAAGAAATTGGGAATGGACTCAAAATGCCGAATATTACCTTAACTTGATCTTGCAATAGGGCAACAGCCCGCATCCATCGTGGGATGTTTTTTCAAGGCAACCGGCCCTGACCCGTTTTTTTTTTTGGGGGGGGGGGATCCCAGCTTGAACAGGGTTCAAGGCAAGTTGTGGAGGGTAGCGCCAAGGACAGTGAAAGACGTTTAACTTCGTAGCATCTCCCACTTCGCAGAACCGTCCCTCCCTCCCTCCCTCCCTCCCTCCCTTCGCAGAACCCTCTTGGGGTTCGCGTAAATATGGTCTTTACTTATTTGAGTTTGTCACTAACCCCCTGGTCGTTCGCACGAACCCCTGGGCTCGAAGACGTTCGCGGCACGCAGGTGCCGCCTTTAACCCAAGGTGTAGCCGAGAATCTCCCCCTACACACAACCCAAATGACCAAATCGAGATAGAAACATATTTGACTCTTTGGTTTTAAAGGACCCAAAAGGAAATCAAACATTTAGGGGGCACCCCTACAGTATTTGGAGACACCCAAGCGTCCTTCGTATGGTTGAACATAGATGGGCGACTGGTTTTAGTTTGGTTCTAGTCATTTGCCAGCGTTTGTGTTTCCAAAAGGACGCCAAAAGGAACATTTGTCTTGGGTCCCGGCGCTTCTTTGCCTCCCGATTTCAAATCTCTGCCGGGCGAATGGGGAAGGCACCCCAATTGTTCGCACGAAGCATGGGCCATTTGTTGCGTGAGCACGCGACAGGTGGCGCGGGAGCGAGCAAATCCGTGAGAGTATGCAGGGAGCGCGAGCAATTAGTGCCTGACAAAGCCATCACAATCGAAGCCCGGCACCTGGGCAGGATTGTCCCCACTTGGCTCCCAGCCATCCGGTTTTAAAGGCTTTTTAAATCCTGAAAAGTCTTGAGGGTGGGGTTTTCCGAATTTAGCCCACTGAAAGTTCGTCACTTTTATAGTGGGGGATCTGAGGACACAGGTAAGGATGCACAGCCATGTAGCTTTTTGCCAATAAAACTTATGACCCACCCCAACTCCAACCCCCCCCCCACCCCCCCCTCCCCCACCCCCCACCCCCCCCACCCACCCCGGCGTCTTCCCACAGACCAGAAGGCTTCTTGTTTGCTTTGTCCGGACTCCTGGCTGAGCTATCTGCTTGACTGCTATTGGGCAACGGATCTTTAGACTTTATTTTTTGGTTGAAATCACGGGTTTTCCACTAAACCCCAAAAAAGCTATTCACTTTTTGCAGGGGGGTCAACAGCAACCAAGTCTGGAGATGGTGTATGAGTGTTTTTGTTTGAGAGAGAGAGAGAGTACGCCACGTACGGCGTCTCAAAGGTATAACCAGCCATTGGGGCACATCATCATGAGTGGTGTATGAGTGGTTTCTTTCCATCTATGAGTACCCCTTTGGGGGTTGGTTTACAGGGAACCCATGCCCTTTTTGGACGCCAAAACGATTTACATCTCTGAAGGTAGCGAGCCAGGACCCAGTGCCCAGGTCAACTTGTGGCTTCACTTCAGCCACAAAAAATCTGGAAACGAGAAACCAACAAACAACTTCCCTCGACTTAAATACTGTGGGTGGACGAAATCTTGCACCACTGGAAACGAAGGGAAGCCATTGTTTGTTGGTAGTTACAAGGTTCCAGAGTTTCTGAGGTGGTGCAGGATTTCGTCCATCCACAGTCGGGATATACCAGGGCTGGATCCTTGCTTTTCAGGGAATTTAAGCGAATGGAAGCGTACGCATCATTGGAGTTGATCGAAACTACCTCATGAAAGCTCCTAATGAACAACGTACCTTGTTTCATCGATTCATGTCCCGATTTGGTTAAGTGGAGTTTCCGGTTTGCCAGGCATTTGCTTCGGGCCTGAGTTGTCAGCGGCAACGCGACGGGTCCGTCCTTGACCTACTAGCTTCCTTTGGGATTCCGTATCGTGGTCAAACAGACTTATTAAAAATTATGGGTGTGGCTGTTTTGTGAGGGGCCCTTCGGCTTTCCTTTAAACACACCAGAAAACGCACCCTCACAAAATGGCACACCTGTACACTGATTGATTCCGGGTCAGCGGCAGATTGCTTTTGCCCTCTTGTTGTCCAGCTGCTTTGCCATTCACGTATTATGCATGTGGGGTGTTTGCTTCATTTCAAGAGCATGTTGTCGATCAGCTTGGCATTTGATTGAGCACCGCAAGCTCGTTTTGTTCGAGCTGTGCAATTTCTGTGGAAGGTAGGCAGGCATGTGTTCCATGTATCAAGGATTAGTGCTACTGATTAGAGATCTGCAAAAGAGAGGTCATTTCGCTTCCCCTCTTGGCGGAGAGGGCAGTTTGCGACTGAAGTGGCTTTGGCATTCGGGGCGTAGAATATCACCACACAAGCAGCAGCCAGCGCAAAAAAGAAGAAGGTGCTGCGAGGGTGCTATCCGACTGACTGACTCAGTAACCCACTGACCCACTGACTCACTGACTCACTGGCTCACTCACTGACTCACTCACTGACTCGCTCGCTCAGTCAGTCAGTCAGTCAGTCAGTCACTTACTCTCTGACTCGCTGACTCACTTACTCACTCACGCACTCACTCACTCACTCGCTGACTTGCTGACTCGCTCACTCAGTCAGTCACTCACTCACTCACTCACTCCCTCCCTCCCTCCCTCACTCAAGCACTCACTCACTCACTCACGCACTCACGCACTCACGCACGCACTCACTCACGCACTCACGCACTCACTGCCTCCCTGCCTCACTGACTCGCTGACTCACTTACTCACGCACTCACTCACTCACGCACGCACTCACTCACTCACGCACTCACTCACTCACGCACGCACTCACGCACTCACTGCCTCGCTGACTCGCTGACTCACTTACTCGCGCACTCACTCACTCACGCACTCACTCACTCACGCACGCACTCACTCACGCACTCACTCACGCACGCACTCACTCACGCACTCACTCACGCACTCACTGCCTCGCTGACTCACTTACTCACGCACTCACTCACGCACTCACTCACGCACGCACTCACTCACGCACTCACTCACGCACTCACTGCCTCCCTGCCTCACTGCCTCGCTGACTCGCTGACTCACTTACTCACTCACGCACGCACTCACTCACTCACGCACTCACTCACTCACGCACTCACTCTTGCACTCACTGCCTCCCTGCCTCACTGCCTCGCTGACTCGCTGACTCGCTGACTCACTTACTCACTCACTCCCTCACTCACGCACTCGCTCGCTCGCTCGCTCACTCACTCACTGCCTCGCTGCTTCGCTGCCTCGCTGCCTCGCTGCCTTGCTGACTCGCTCACTCACTGACTCACTGACTCATCACTGACTGAGTGATTTGGCATGCAGCAAAACTTGATGAAGTTTTCGACACACTGGACGCTTGTTTGAACGGTTGCCTGCCAGGATGCAGCCTTTTCATGCA